GGTATTTAAAATAGCGATTAAAGTTTAACCGCTATTATATGTCACTTTTAAGAGCGGTTAAACTGGAACCGCTATTACAGGTTCCCTTTTAAGAGCGGTTCAAATGTTAACCGCTCTTAAAAGTGACACATATATATTAAATTAAAATAAAAAATATTATTTATCAATTATATATTATAAATATTATAATTAAAGAATTAAAAAAACCATATTTGTAATTATAAATTTAAAAAAATTATAACTATCAAATTAATGTTAAATAAATTATATATATTATATAAATTATAATTATATATAGATATATTACTTAAATTAAAATCTTTAAATTAATTATATATATATATATATATATATATATATATATATATTTTGCATAAAATACAATAATAATTATGAATTTGAAAATAATTTATATTTAAAATATATATATATATTCTAAATTATAATTTATTTTAATTTCTATAATATATATATATATATATATATATATATATATAAATGAAAATAAGCTATATTTTGGAGGTCTGCCTGGAGGGAATCACTTCCTCCTAATTTACCGACGGATATATCCCTCGATAATGAATAGTTTATTTACCGACGGATATATCCGTCGGTAAAACCAAATTTCACAACTATCTTAAATCCGTCGGTAATTACTCAATTTCCGACGGCTCTGGATCCCTCGGTAAATATCCCTCGGTAAATCAGAAATTTCTGGTAGTGTAAGAGATCGAAAAGAACCTTCGATTTCTTTGAAGATGAGGAAATGGTGGCCGAATGTTTGCATTTTCTGACGAAGGCCGATGGGTCCGACTCATCTGAGGACTCCCAGTCCTTCTCCTTCTCAGCGACAACAGTCTTAGAGGGTTTTGAAACTGTCGAAAAAGAAAACAGTTAGCTTATAGTATAAAGAAATAAAAGACATTCCTAGAAAAGGCAGCAAAATCTCACCAAAAGGTGATGAAGTCAAAATCGTGACTCGATCGATATGTACAAGCCAGGGAGGAAGAAGAATTTGAGGGACATTTAGGTAAGGGAAATACGACAATTTCGATATAGAAATGTCCTTATTTTTAGGTTTGGGACGAAGAGTTTCTCTTAGGGATCTCAGCTCTCGAACCCATTTGGGATGAGTTAAAGGTTTAGCAAGCCCAAAAGGAGCTGTGGGAAAAGTGGGAAGGTGATCGGGACAATACATTTCAAAAGGGGTCTTACCTCGAGGATTGATTATTTTGTGGTTCGATCGATTAGTGTCTGTTTTATGGGCTAAGGAAACAACAACATCAATAAAGGTCGATTCTAATTTCAAAGGGTTGTAACAAACTCGATAAAAATTCTCGAATCGAGATATTTGAAGATAGTAGGAGTGTGTACCTTTCTTCGCCCTTGATTTGTCCTGCAACACAAGAGAAGGACGAACAGTCAATTTTTGTCGGACTTCGTCAAAAGTAGAACGATTACTCGAGAACCAATCGGCCCACCATTGAGAGAAACCCACAGTGGATAAATAATTTGATTCGAAAGCATAGGGATAAAAAAGTAGTGGGGTTTGTGGTAATAGTTTGGTCAACTCCCGTCCGATTGTCGACTCACTTAACTTGGACCTTGGGGAGGTATCAAGAGGGAAGAAGGGTAAGGATTGGCTCAAACCAAACTGTCTCGAAAAAAGTTGAGGGTAGTATGTGATAAGCTTAAAATCCTTTGATTGGAAACCCGATACTAGTACATCCTGAGTTAAATAATTACTCCATACATCGACCAACTCTGATTGTAACCCAGGAGTTAAGGCAGGGAATTTTGACTTAAACCAAATTGGCCCTCGAAGTTGGTCACTAATTCTTCCAAGATGCACAGTAAGAGGAGCCAAAGTTGAATCGAAATTAAACCTAGTTAACAAAAATTTAAGATATCTATAATAAGCTGTTTCGTCGGGCTTGTGGTGAGGGTGGCGAGAAGACAATTGAGCACCTTCTATATTTACACTTGGGGGGATGGTGGAAGTTGGGGGAAGGATACTCTCAAAAATCGAATTCATCCATAACTGTATAAACCAAATAGGGCCAGAAAAATTTCCCGAAGCTTTGGGGGTACTCAAAATCTCGACAGCCTCATCGAATGCAGTATATACATGGGCTAACAAAAGTTTGGCTAGACATATCCTAGGCTGGCCAGTATGAAGAAGGTAAGCAAGGTGGTAGAGGTGGGAGGAAATTTGGATCGATCGGGGGTAGAAAACATGAGTGCACAACCAGTAGACCAAGAAGGCCACGTGCTCCTCATCAGAAACGGCAATTGTTGGGTCATCGATAAAATGTTTCTCGAGAAAGTGGCCATAAGCTTTCGATTCCCAATCGACTTTGGACCTTAGGGAATTATCCGAAGGGTAAGCACCCTTATAATACTTTTCCCCGGTGGGTTTCAAACCGGTAATAGCAGCAATCTCAAAGAGGGTGGGCGAATAGGGACCACAAGGTAACTCCAAAGCATGTAAGTCCTTATTCCATAGATGCACAACAGATAAAAACATAGTCATATCTAAATGAGACAAGTCGTATCGAGACAAATGCAAAAATCCCCACATCCCTCCAATGGTTCCCAAACTTGGTTTGCACTCGATCAAACCACCTAATATACGAGGATTTTCTGAAAGGGGGGCCCGTTCGATATACTTTAGAAACCATATTCAAAAAATCAGTCCGAACTTCAGCTTGGTGAATAAGAGCCTAGCTATTCGAGAGGTTGAGGGATGAAAAAGTTCCACCACTAGAACGAATAGGACCCCCAAAAGCAAAATTTATACCATCAACAGAATAAGGGATGAGTACCTGCGTCTCAGCGACTTTCTGAGAAGCTTCCTCCATTAAAGGAACTGGAGCAAACTTCTGATTATTAATCTCCAGCAGGCTAGACGCCAATAAGGAAAGGGGCGGGGCCGAAAAGTCAGAAGACTTGGAAGAGGTTGCCATTTCAGTTACTGGCAGCTTAAAGGAAAACAGGGAGGTGCAAGGATGAAGGCAAAAGCGCAGGTAGAAGATGAAGTTGCAAAGGGTTAAAGTTCGCGTAAAAAAGCCAGGGTAAAAAACCAATAGAGTTTAAAAGGGAAAACTACCTAGGGTGTTGGAAACGACGGAAGCGAGGGCAATTAATGTGGCGTGTACGGTGAGGCAGCAGACTGACGTGATGGTAACATAAAGTAGAAAAACCCTAAAACCCCATAAACCCTAAACTCTAGATTATTGTGGGCCTCCAATAAGCGAAGGCGGGAATCGTGTTGAAAGAATATAAACGGAAACTATTTATATTCTTCCAAGGGGGAATTTTGTTAGTAAGAGATCAATAAAAGATCGAAAAAGTGAAGGGAAGCAAAAATCGATAACTATACAATTGATTGAAAAATCGATAAAAATTGACAAGACACCTGGTGACCACAAAGATAAAAACATATTGAGTATTGAAATCGAGAATCGAGGGAATAACGCTTAACGTCCGTTGGTGAAGAAAATCAAGAAATCAAAATCATGTAACGTTAAGGATACCGAGAATCAAAAGCAATCCGAAAACTCTCGAAGTCTCGAAGTCTAAATCGAAGGGAAGGCTAACATACGCGAATATCGAAATTTTGGCTAAAAAAGAACAGTCGACGTATACATCGAACATAGTAAGCGGTGGCAAAGGCCGAAAGTCAAGGGAACAGTTACCTCATGCATGGGAACGTGGATGCAGTTTCTAAACCATAGAGCTAGGAGCAAAACTGCAAAAAGACATGCACAGAGAACGTGGTAGCAATTTTCGTTAACTGCTCTTAAGAAACTACTTGAAAAGACACTATAAATAGAGCAAAGGATGAGAGGGGAGCAGGGGGGAAATTGGCAAAGAACAGAAATACTAGTGAGAAATCTACTGGAGAACGACGAACATCATGAAGTTTCTGGCGATCTGGATTTCCACGCTCATTGAGTACCTTTATCGCTTTCTTTATTTTCCTTGGTAATTTACTTTGATGCAGTTTATCTTTAGCAATTTAAGTTTCTGAACTTTCGATTCCATGTTATTTATCTTAATGCAATTTAAATTTCTGTACTTTCGATTTCATGTTATTTATCTTAATGCAATTTAAGTTTCTGTACTTTCGATTCCATGTTATTAATATCTTAATGCAATTTAAATTTCTGTACTTTCGATTTCATGTTATTTATCTTAATGCAATTTAAGTTTTTGTACTTTCGATTTCATGTCATTTACACTTAAGGCAATTTTGATGTTTCCGTACTTTACATTCTCTGAAATTTAATATTTCTTCGCAGCTTTGTATTTTATCCTACTTTTCGATTTGTCATTTTGCTACCTTTTTCTCTTCGAGTACTATAAATACAAAATACCAAAAATAGTGCTTTCGATAAGTCATGACACGTTAGTAGGATTTTCTCGATATTGTGATATTTTCGATTCTCATATACATTTCGATTGAAAAAACATTTGCTAGCCTAAGTAAAAAGAACTTGCGTGGTTGAGTTTTGGTTAGAACAAAATCTCTTAAGAATCGGAATCGATCGAAATTCCACCAGAAACAGATATACTGATGTAACCGACAAAATTCATAACATATACTATGCAAGGAATAATGTTCAATCACTTTGATGCCACAAAATTAACAAAAAATACAACAAATTGTTCCCACATTTTACTTGTTACAACTTGCAACGCAGTTTTAAAAAGCTAAAAAATCAGTAAGTTCGAATGTAAATATTCATATTCACTGAATATACTCTATCCTAAATATTTGTATGAACCCAGTGTTGTCCAAACTGCTACTCACTTTTTGAACCTGGAATTCATGGTAGAAGCTTACAAATTGATTCTTTTATCCAAATATATAGGCTAAGTTATGATCTTATGATTATTTTCATGACTTCAGTGTAAAATAAAAAATAGAGACTCCATCTCCAAGCATTGTTTGAAGTCATCTATGACACTGATTGAAGGCTTATAGTCTGTCTGAATCACTTGTCAGAAAGCATCTTCTCAATTTGACCATTTTGGTTGTACATTTCCACAATTTTCTTAGCATATGTAGGCATGTGCCTATCAGCCCTGCATGCATTTACAATTCAACAATATAAACAAACTTGATATCCTTAACATCAAAGTAAGGGCTTGGAATAAATTATACTAACTTAAAAGCAAGAAGGACAAAGAAAATTCTAAATACTAAGAATTATTTGATGATACAATCTATGCAGGCTATGTCTATTCTATGCCAATTAAGAGAAAAGAGTCTAATATTATCTGTACAAATCAATTTTATTTAATCAAAATTAGGAAAGAAATCTGAAAAAATACAATCAAATCATTCTAATTTTTGTTAACTAGATTTCATAATACTAGTCCCTTGATGAAAACAAGTCAATCTAAGGTCCTGGTCGGAAAATCTTATCCAGAAGAACTTTAAAAAGAGAAAAAATATAAAGAAAAAATGAAATTGACTTATCCATAAGTTAAAATTAGCTTATGTACAAGTTAAAAATAAAAAACTAGGAAACTATATTAAGAGAACTTTTATACATTAACTAGTGCATAAGATAAATTTAATTTATAATGAAATCAATTTCACTTTTTTCTTAAAATTTTCATCTCCTAGACCATTATCTAATTTTTCCATGATGATATTTCTCTATCCCATCACATTCCATGGAGATTGTAAGCAATGTTGATGGTGAACTTTCGATAGTATAATATACTAAATCAAATCAATTGAGTGACTTTTTCGAAAAATATAAGACATTTAAGTAAAATAATAAGTTATCCTCGTTACTAGCTTGTTAAAGAAATAAAATACAATTAATATTTTCCAATCAGAGATTGAATCAATAATTAGAAAAATTAGGTTAAAAATTAAGATACATTCTAGAAAAATAAAACTTTGATAAGAAAAATAAAAATTATGAATAAAAATCGGATTGATAAATAAAGATTCTTGATTTAGTTTTCTAACTCAATAAACAAAAAGATTGATTAAATTCTATTGAGTTTCACTCCCAATATTTTTTTATCAAAGAATCACTCTTGTTATCAAATAAGTAAACAATGAGAAGCACATTCATAACAAATATTAAATGATTTATGAATTCAATATATTTTGTTTACTAGAAAGACATATTTCTTGTTAATTATCTAACAATTACTTATTCACAGAAAGCTGGTGGGAAGCTAAAAATTTTCATTTCCATCTCATGTAATTTTTATCCACAACTGAAATCCCAAACCATGGCATGAAGCTTTACCTCAGTCCTTGAGCTTGCAATTACATTTTGCTTCTTATTTGCGTCACTAATTTTTCACCTAAAAGCATGCCGTACACTAACAATAATCAACGTATACATCACCCTAGACAATCTCTCCTCTTCCCTGAATAGAAACCCGTATCTTGGGCTGCCATGTGTTTCTCCCATGGATCATGAATGTATTCACTGACCACACTAATTGCATAAGCAACATATATGACCTGGTGTCGGTTAGATAAACAAGCTTATCCCCAAGCCTCTAATATCGGCCCTTCTTCACTCTTGGGCTCCCTTCATCAGTACCAATGCTATGATTCTATTCTATGGATACTATAGTGGTTTTGTAACTTCACTTTGTCTCCTTAAGTTGAAGGATACATTGCCTTCTATATAGAGAATCCTTGTTTGGAGTTGGCAATTTCAATTTGTTAGGAACTCCACAAGTCAATCAAGCAGTAAAAATGTAACAAGAAATGTCGGGCAATGTTATTCATGAAATGATAGAAATTACAGAGGAAGAGTGTTGGAAGAGTGTTTTGGATGCTGTTAAAGCAGTTTCAATAAGTAAATTCACATGAATATTTTATTATGATGTTAGTTGATTAATCAGTTCTTGTTTTCAAAGTAGTTTCTTATTTTGTTTTCTCATGTTTGGTTGTTCAGGCAACATCGGTCACCAATCCTTCAAATCTTTATTCTATTACTGCCTTCTCTTGGAGGGACTCCCCTTTCTGTTATTCTCTCCTCTGCATCACAACCTCTTGATCAAGAGACCCTCATTTCTCTCATCTCTCATTTCTTTGATTATGGCAACCTAAGGTCGGTGCCATAGTGTTAAGTGGTAAAAAGTTGATATAATTATGCCTTGAATTGTTATGAAACCACTTAACTTGTGTTAATTCTAATATATTTTTCTCCCAATATAGGATGAATTCGAGAATACCTTACAAAAGGAATGAGCATAATTGTCAGCATAATTAGAGTAAAATTGAAAGAAAGAAGAGCGCTTAAGCGAATAAATGATGCGAGGCCCGGTCCAAATTCTCTTATAAAAAGATAAATTGTGTTTTGAGAAAACCAAGCAGTCTTGGAGAAGAGGAGGCACGACTACTATTAGGGTTTTGTCCAATCTTCATCAATTCTATTGGAGCATTGTAATGGCCAACATGAGTGGCTAACTTCATTCTCTTAGGATTCGGTGCACTTCCTTTGAACTCTTTTGTATCATGGTGATATTTTGAGATATTAATCTATGCTTTGATGTTGTTATTCTTATCCTTTATGCTTTGGAATGATTTATTCTTGATTGTTTGAGGTATGATTGGAAAATATATCTTGAACTCTAGATCACGGTAAGAATATTTGTTTCGTTAATTTCCAGGAATGGAATGAATGTATCAAGTGCTTAAATACCCTAACCCTAATGCTGGAAAATCTCTTAATTGTGTGAGGAATCAACATTTATTAGGTTTTCTTATGAATTTCATGTGTGAGGAATCAACATGGATGATTTGAGTAGGTGGCATCAACATTGTTAGGTTAATTGACATTCTTAATTGATTTAGCCATTACAAAAGAGGGATAAGGAAGGAAGTCAATCCTAAGTACCTTTAATTGATATTTTCTCAACAATTTACAAGTCTTTGTCATTTAATTTCAATTCAACTCTTATTTGCAAAACCTAATCTGTTTTAATCTACTTAGTAAGTATAATTAGGAATTTCCATTGAAACTGTTCCTCGTGGGATCGACTTTTATTTTATCGAAATACTATACTGCAATTGATAATTTTGGTACGTTTGCCAATAATTCAACAAGTATTTCTAGGCGTCGTTGCTTGGGAACGGTGTTCTTTGAGAATTCTTTATTTAGCTTATTGAGTATTTTATTTTTATTTCTATTTTTTTATTAGTATTATCATTATTATCATCATTATTATTATTATCATTATTATTATCATCATTATTATCATTATTATCATTATCATTATCATTATTATTATCATTATCATTATTATTATTATTATTATTATTATTATTATTATTATTATCATTATCATTATCATTATCATTATTATTATTATTATTATTATTATTATTATTTAGTTTTTAGTTTGTGCTAATATTTGCTTGAGTTACTCTTTTGATTTATGCGTTTAAGAGGACAGGTATCTTCAGAAGAAGGGAAACTCAAGAACAAACTACAAGAGAATCTGCTAATTCTTCTTTCACACTTGATTTACCAAACCCAATTATAGAAGATATGGCGGAAGAAGGAGCAAATCTGAATCCAGATCCAAATACAAATCCAAATCAAAACCCAAATGCAAATCCACCTAGAAGAACTCTTAGAAATTGTGCTATACAGCAAGGTAGGGCAAAGGAATGGCTGAAAGCACATCCTAATCAGAGTTTGACTAATTGGAGTAGTGTAGAAGAGAAGTTTCTGAACAGATTTTTCCCACCATCCCGCTACATCAAAGCAAAATCTGACATCACTTCTTTCAGACAAGGAGCAGATGAGCAATTTTGTGAAGCATGGGAGAAATTCAAATCATTGTTGAGAAGTTGACCAAATCATGGATTTGATGACGTTTCTCAGTTGAATATTTTCTATACTGGCTTGCGACATGATGCAAAGATATTATTAGAGGCTGCAGCAGGAGGATCTATGTTGGATGTAGAAATTGATCATGCTACCAGAATTATTGATGCACTAGCCTTTACAGACCAACAGGCCCACCATGATAGACATCCAATTCAAAGGAAAGGAGTCCTTGAACTTAACACCACAGATGCCCTCTTAGCCCAGAATAAAATTTTGACCCAACAAATTGAAGCATTGAACCAAAAAATAGAGAAATTACCTCATCAAATGCACACAGTACAAATTATTCCTAATCAACAGATGAGTTGTGATTTGTGTGGAGGTGATCATTCAAATGAACAATGCTCTTATCAAGGCAACATTCAGTAAGAAGAAACTAATTATATGGGGGCCCAAGGTAGTAGTCAAGGCAGACAAGGTAATTTTCCTAATCCCAATAATTATCAGAATAATTTTGCACAAGGATGGAGAGGGAATCAAAATCAAAATCAAAATTTTGGGTGGAAACAAGGACAACCTACATTTCAACAACGATCATATCAGCAACCTCCATATCAACAAGAAGCAACAACATTATCCTTCGAATGCTCGACGTAATAAGTAAGTTGGAGGATATTGTAGAAAAATTTATGCAAAGCACTATGGTTAATCGAAAAATACCGAGGCTTCATTCGGAAATATAGAGACCCAAATAGGCCAACCGGCTAAGCAATTATCTCGAGCAAGAACAAGGAGGACAGTTTTCAGCTAACACACAAACCAATCCAAAGGAGCAGTGTAATCCAATAACTACAAGGAGTGGAAAAGTTGTAGGTAAGGGGATTGGTGACAATATAGTTGTTGAAGAAGAAGTTTTGGTAAAAGAAGATGAAGAGCAAGAAGATGAGAATAATAAAGAAAAACATATTCCTAATAAGAAGAACGAAGAGAAGATAGAAAAAGGAGGGAGTCAAAAACCATTTGTAGAGAAGTTACCGTATCCCAAGGCTCCTTCACAAATAGATAAAGAAAGATAGTTTGCAAGATTCATGGATATTTTCAAGCAATTGCAAATTAATATATCATTTGTGGAAGCTATGGAGAAAATGCCAACATATGCCAAATTCATGAAAGAGCTCTTAACTAAGAAAAGAAGATTTATCGATGAAACAAGTAGAGTTAGAGGCGAGGATGCGGTGCTATATTCCAAAAATCATTGCCTCAAAAGTCCAAGGACCCCGGAAGTTTCACTATACCAGTCACAATTGGTGAATTACCGGTGAAAAAATCATTGCTTGATTTAGGGGCCAGTATAAACCTCATGCCATTATCTATGCTCAAAAGAATAGGAAACTTGGAAGTAAAACCTACAAGAATGACATTGCAGCTAGCTAACAGATCTCTAAAGATTCCTTATGGAGTAGCAGAAGATGTTTTAGTTAGAGTGGACAAATTCATATTTCCTGTTGATTTTGTGATTATGGACATGGAGGAAAATGAGGAAGTCCCATTGATCCTAGGAAGGCCATTTATGAAGACTGCCAAAGTAATTATAGATGTTGACATGGGCAAGTTGAAAATTAGAAGTGGAGATGATGAAGTTAATTTTAATCTGTTTGAAGCTAGACAAGAAAGATTGTCTCAGAATAGACACTTTGGAGGAATTAACCATCTTAACTGAAAAACAAGATTACAAGCATGTTGCACAACCCCAAAGACATCTTAGTCTGACTATGAAGGAAGTTATTCAAAGAGAGGTACTGAAACCTCTTGAAGCAGGTATGATTTATCCAATCTCTGACAGTTGTAAGGTTATTCGCAATGAAAAGAATAAATTTGTTCCCACAAGGACAGTTAAGGGATGGAGAATGCGTATATATCACCTTGATCACTCACCCGCATGAGCCCTAAAGCAAATAGGCATCAAGTCGAAGACGTTAAACAAGCGCTCCTGGGAGGCAACCCAATATTTTGAATTTGTTTTTTTTTTCTTTTTGCAGTTTAAGTTTTTTTGTGCATTTTTCTTCCTTAGGTTCTTTCTTTGCAAGATTGCTCCAGGTACACAGTGCACTTCTCCTCAAGACTTTGAAGCCTTACTTCAATAGTTTGGGGACAATCCAACTTTTCTGGAGGGGGTGAGAAAGTCTGTAGCTGAGGCTGAGGCACAAGATAAGGAGTACATGACAAGTGAAAAAAATGAGGGAGGAAATTTACTTTACTTTTAATGTTTTTAATTCCTTTGTTTTTAATTTAATGTTTTTAATTGCTTTATTTTAAATTTTGAATTCCTTTGTTGTCCCATAATTTGTTTTAGATCCATATATGAGATTATTGTTTATTGTCTAATTCAAATCTAGAACGTGAAAAATAATTTTGATTGTTTCCAATAACAAGTGATTTTGGAATATTGAGTATGATAGTGAAAAGGAATTGATGAGGAAAATTAGGAATTAACTGAATTGGAGAAGCTAGCCAAAACCCAGGTGAGCAGAGTACCACAAGCAGATAAATTGAGTGTCAACACTTTGTGATGATAACTGATATTGGTTGATTCTTTGATGTGATTACATGTTAGCAAGACTTGAAAATGATAAAGGCATTTTTTCTTTGTAGTAAATATAACCCAGAGCCAAATAGCCAACCATGCATTAATTATAGGACATCCATTTGAACCCCTTCTGAAAAAAAAAAAAAATAATAATATTGTTTCTTAAACAGAACCCTTAAGCCTAAACACTATTTATCTACCTTCCTATATTTGAGAAAGGAAATGAGTATGAATGTCACTATTTTTCTTATTGTTGGGTATTGTTATTGTTGTCCTACAGGTATTGTTGGGGTGTTATTGTTAAAAAAAAAAAAAGTGTGTAAAGAAAAAGGAAAAGCAGAGCTTAAAAATTTGCAAAACCAAAAAAAAAAAAAAGTCAAAAGGGGGGTAATAACTTGTGAAATTATTAATTCATTGTCATTGTGTTAGGGACAAAAGCATAAAGTTTAAAACCTGACTTGAGGAATTGTTAATCAAGAATCATTCATATGAGTTGAATTTCTCAAATATTTTTGTATATCCCAGAAAAACCAATAATTCTTTCTTAGCTCAGCCTCATTACAAGCCTCAAAAGACCTTTTGATTTAAGTCTTGTTTAACAATTGTTGATTGCTTGAAGATGATTATCAATATTGGATTGTCTAAATGAAGTGATTGAATGAGATAAACACTTACCTGTGAGAATTAGAGATGAGTATATATAACTCTATTTGAGAGATCATGCTTCTCTGATGATAGTTGAGGACTAATTATTCTTTGTTGGTTTCTATAACTTGAATGCTTATGTGTTCTATTTTCATTTGAAGTTGTGAGCATCACCTCTGAAAATTTTTATGTTGTGGTTCTAGAAGAGAAAAAGATAATAGGTGATGATTTTGTTTTGGAAAAATTACTTTGCTTGGGACAAGCAAGATTCTAGGTTGGGGGGAGTTGTTAAGTGGTAAAAAGTTGATATAATTATGCCTTGAATTGTTATGAAACCACTTAACTTATGTTAATTCTAATATATTTTTCTCCCAATATAGGATGAATTCGAGAATACCTTGATACAAAAGGAAGGAGCATAATTGTCAACATAATTAGAATAAAATTGAAAGAAAGAAGAGCGCTTAAGCGAATAAATGATGCGAGGCCCGACCCAAATTCTCTTATAAAAAGATAAGTTGTGTTTTGAGAAAACCAAGCAGTCTTGCAGAAGAGGAGACACGACTACTGTTAGGGTTTTGTCCAATCTTCATTAATTCTACTTCATCAATTGGAGCATTGTAATGGCCAACATGAGTGGCTAACTTCATTCTCTTAGGATTCGGTGCACTTCCTTTGAACTTTTTTGTATCATGGTGATATTTTGAGATATTAATCTATGTTTTGATGTTGTTATTCTTATCCTTTATGCTTTGGAATGATTTATTCTTGATTGTTTGAGGTATGATTGGAAAATATATCTTGAACTTTAGATCACGGTATGAATATTTGTTACGTTAATTGCCACGAATGGAATGAATGTATCAAGTGCTTAAACACCCTAACCCTAATGCTGGAAAATCTCTTAATTGTGTGAGGAATCAACATTTATTAGGTTTTCTTATGAATTTCATGTGTGAGGAATCAACATGGATGATTTGAGTAGGTGGCATCAACATTGTTAGGTTAATTGACGATCTTAATTGATTTAGCCATTACAAAAGAGGGATAAGGAAGGAAGTCAATCCTAAGTACTTTTAATTGATATTTTCTCAACAATTTACAAGTCCTTGTTATTTAATTTCAATTCAACTCTTATTTGTAAAACTTAATCTGTTTTAATTTACTTAATAAGCATAATTAGGAATTTCCATTGAAATTGTTCCTCGTGGGATCGACTTTTATTTTATCGAAATACTATACTGCAATTGATAATTTTAGTATGCTTGCCAATAATTCAACACATAGTCAAAGTGAGGGGGTTAGCAGAAGCAGAGTGTCCTAGACCAGGAACTCTAGTACCAACATAGTATAAGGAATTTTGGTACAATTTCTGGATATTATTTGATAACTTTGCAGTGCAAAAAGAATGTTACACATAGCTACATCTATAACCATCCTAAGCTAATTAAGGAAATAAAATCTAACAGAATCTGCACAAATTATCAAATCTGTCCTAATTATAGGGTATTCGGATAGATATCTGAACAATATAATCAAATCACACTAATTACTGGGAACAAAGAATCACACTAATTATGTTAATTAGGTCTCACAATACCCTACATACCTTTCCTTTCCCCACAAACGATTCACGTGAAGATAGTTGCGAATGGTATGATAATCCAGTGAATAACGTGCAAATTCAAGACCCTTTGGACCGATCTGAATATAGAGCCAAAAATATCATGTTCTGCATGATATACATGTATAAATGGATAAACTGATATGAATCTTTTACCAAGTTTAGTATAAAAGCCAGCAGATTTCCAATAAATTTTGGGGCAGGTTGAGAAGGACCTCTTCCTGATCAAGAATTTCAAAGAAAGAAGTAATCAACTCTGAAATCATGTACGGTGGTACTGATAAAAACAAACATAGAAGAGAAACTCAAAGCCTAATAATAACCGTCATATTCTATTATGAATAGATGAATCCATAAAATCCAACTTCATCCAAAGCACTAAAAACATGAGATCTATTCCCAGAGCCAAGGCGAGAGATGGAAAACACTGTAAGATAAATACATTATATAATGAATGTTATATACCTAACTTAGCTTCATCATCAGCCTTAAAACACAAAAAAATCATGCTCTCCTTTATTTTAAACTAATAATAATATGCTTAAATGGAAAAGCGTTGATAATTTACAGCACTAATTGTTGGAGTAATCTCTAGTAAGTTCTCCACCAGACTCAACATCTCTCTTCCCCGTTCATTCCTGTTATATCAAGAGCAAAATATACAAGGCTCAACTCTTACCAAAAAGTAACCCTTCATGAAAGAGTATGCACAAACAGACACTTGCATCTTTTAGTCTGTGGTCTTACCTGACTGTAACATATTGTGGATGTTGTGGCATGCTGACTCCAGAACATTTTGGCACGCCCATATATCCAACCACCATGTCCTGAAAATTATTTTTTTTCTACTGTCTAATAAAAGTTTCTTAACATGAGAAAAGATGCACAAACAGTGTAAACATCAAGCAAAACAAGACTAATAAGGACATGTCCCTTGGCAACGTGGCAATGAACACCAGTTCGTCATACTTCACTCAAGTACATACACATGCACTCACAGAAAATAGAAAGTAAGTAAACGGAAGCTGGTTGCTTGGAGTTTCTCGTTATATATTAACAAGATAAAATTGAGGGTGATCAAGCATGAAAAAATTGTTCTTACAAGAGGATAAAAATATGCATATATTTTCTAAAGAATGAAGAGAAATATATTAAAGTTTGTGAATAGGAATGCAGTATTAGGGGTTGAAATACGTTGATATAATCATGTTAAACAATATATGGGAATTAGGGTTTAGGTAAACCCTAAACCCTAAACCCTAATTCCCATATATTGTTTAACATGATTATATCAACGTATTTCAACCCCTAATACTGCGTTCCTATTCACAAACTTTTCTTATCCGTAGTTTAAAATATACGATATAAGAAAGTACAGATAAAATTATACACACTATTTAATGGCGATTTTCCCAAAAATAAAAAATAATAGGTGAAGAGATTTATTAAAAAATACAAAATTAAATTAAGAAATCAAATTAGATTTTCCTATTGAAAAATTAACGAAACATTTTTTTTAAAATTTAGGTAAATCATATTTCAAAAACTTGCTAAAACTTAACAACGACAAGACATGTTTCAAGATTAAAAAAATTTACTTAAATATTTTTAAAAGTATAACAATAAAAGTTTGCACCCAAAAATGTTTGAACCAATATTTGTTGGCATTTTAAATTTTGTGTAACGTAAAAAATATACCATTCAAAAGAAAGATAAAATTTTATTAATGATAATTTTTAGAAAAGAAAAGTTCTTGCATGATTAAAAAAAACTTGTATTTACTTATTTTAAAATATATAATAACACTTTACACATTTGTTTATTTTAAACTAATTTTATTTTACTTTTTAAATCCCATAAATATTAAATGGTTTGAAGTGAACTGCGATTGACACATGTCCTCTTTGGTAATTTCCACGGTCGCACCCAAATTAGTTCAAAACCAGCTTCACCTGAATTCATCTGCTCGAAAAAAAAAAAACGCGCAATTTCGATTCCTCTCTTCCTCTCGACGTTTCATTTCTCAAAATTTTCAAATTATTCCCCCATTGTTGTTCATTCCTTCTTTGCACCGTTCTCGTTCCCGTTTTACGCGATCTGGGAAATTCCTTCTCATGCTAGGGTTTGGGGCTGCTTGATTCGGATCCATTGCCATGGTGATGGCGATTTGCGCGTTGAAGTTTTGAATTTGCGAACGCGCCACTGGGCCACACCTCCTCCACGCGCACAGTTGGGCTTCGTGGTTTTCTGAAAGTCCATTAAAAGACCTGATCCTTATTATCGGACCTTACTTTCTAGGGCTTCTGTTTCTTCCTACTACATTTTTTTTTCTGGGAATTCGAATCTTCGATTGGCACCATGGTGGCGTTCAGAAACAGATACATGGTGATGGAGGTTTTTCTCAACCCTAATAGAGAAAAAGTGGGCGATCATTCTGTTATAATTACACAGTTTAATGTCTCCAAAGCTGTGAGAGATAGCATTTTGGAGAATTTTGGGGAGTGTGGTTTGGCTTCCTCGTTGGATCATTCCAAGGTAGGTAGTAATTTGTTTGATTTCATGCAGTTTTGTGAATTCTAATACAATTTCTGTTTTATTGATTTTGATGGTATTGAAATTTTTGTTTTTTGTTTTTTGTTTTTTGTGTGCAGTTAAGTATGTGAATCCAATTACTAAGGTGTGTATAATTAGGGTATCAAGGGAGGAGTATCAGAAAGTATGGTCTGCCATTACAATGGTCACAAATATTGGAAACTGCCCGGTCGTGTTTAACTTGCTGGATTTGTCTGGTAAACAAAATAAAATCCTGCCTCGTTGGTTTGTTCATTATTTTTTCGTGAATTTCTTTGGGAATATGTGGGAATTGAACGAGAGATAAAAGGATGTGCTAGATGATATGTCATGGGAAACAAAAATTGTGAAATTCTGGTAATTTTGCATTGTGCTATTGGTTTTTAAGTTGCTATTTGGTTTGATCCTAATGAGTGTATCGGAGAAAAATGATTAGAGAGGTTAGCCCCTTGGAATGTTTTCAGTGCCTCGAGTAATCAGTTTTGTGATCGTATTTCAACTTACTATTTGAGATTTTCAAATCCTGTTATGTACGACGTCAGAAAGCCCATGTTTATTATGCTTTGACTTGTGTGTTTTTATTCAATTACAATAGAATGCCTTCGTATTTTCATAACTAGAACATTGCAAAACTACCAATATTCATGATTTCAATTTTTACTTTCACTTACTATTCATGATTTCAATCTTTACTTTCACTCAAAGTTCGATGTTTAACCTATAATTATAAACCCTGATATGTTACCTCCTTTTTAATATTCATGATTTCAATCTTTACTTTCACTCAAAGGTTCGATGTTTAACCTATAATTATAAACCCTGATATGTTACCTTCTTAATATTCATGATTTCAATCTTTACTTTCACTCAAAGGTTCGATGTTTAATTTATAATTATAAACCCTGACATGTTACCCTTTGTTATAAGTATAAGGGCTTGTAAAAATGCTACCTTGAAGTGTGAGGAATCAAAATTTGAGCAGTACAAACTCATGGTCGGTGATCAATTATCTGCTGCTGACACTGATCGCATGAATTCTAATCTCGAAAGAATCAAAGTTTTGGAGCACTGAATATTTGACTTAGGAGTTTCTCATTGGGATTTCTCAGTTTCTTGCAATTTGTTTGTTTTCAATCACAAGTTGCCTTACATTAAATTGTATTTGTGATTTTGGTCTCTTAGTTAAAAATATGAAATTCAGTCTAATTTTTAATTTCAAATATATTTTATTTTAGTTTTAAGTTACTATTAAAATGTAAAAAAAAAATGAAATAATGAAAATTAGACCAAAATGGTAGATTTTTTAATACATAGCAAAGGCGTAGGAAAGAAAGTTAGAGGGAGGATAAAGCACACCGTTGATTGCCCTCTCTGTATAAGCATGTTGAAAAGAGAGTTGTGAAGGGTTTTTTCAGAGAGACTGAATGAGGTTGAGCACAGGATGAAGACATTTGAGAATAGCATGAATTTCAGCATGGACATGGGTATTATGCCATCAACATTTACCTTCACCAAATTTGCATTCTCTTACCCTGCATGTTATCATTTCTAATCCTTAGTATCCCTATGTAAGTAGTGTTGTGGAAAAACTCAATAATGTAGGATATAAATTATTTGTTTTTTTGAAAAGTTTTAGTTTTGCATTTAAGATAGAACCTTTTTGAAATAAATTCCAAATTTATTTACCAAATTCATATCGTAATGACAATTTTTTTATTTTTTTTGTAATATTTCGAAATGAATATTAACAATTAATTTTCTGTTATATATTATAAAATGAGAAAAAAATTCATGTTTCGGGAATAAAAATTCAGAATGTCTGAATATGTAATATGAAACCTTTTAATATGTATGTATAAGAATTTTAAAAAACATTTTCATCATTCCATTATTGGAGTTATATATAGAAATTATGAGGTGAAAAAACAATTATCTTTCGAGAATTACAAAAACTTTTGAATCTAAACATTAACAGTATGCTTGAATATCTATAAAGGAATTTTAGGTTTGTCTGATTCGTTGTGCGTTTTCACGTAGTTAATCGGATATTCGAAATGTTCAGTACCATTCTCTCGTATACTCTTTACGAATATTTCATTAAAATCTATTGAAAATCAGTAAATATAATTAGTCTCACTTCTTTCACCAAAAAGTAATATGAAACAAAAAAATGCACTAAAATTTTGGAGATTTTCTACTATTTCACTCGATCGGCTAAGAAAATGAACGACATTAATCATTACAGAGGAACCTTCAGATCGGCCTAACTGTCAACTGAATTAGGTCGAGTTTTTAATTTCAATTCTAGAGTTGTGACACGCCGAATGTCGCACAACAAAAACGTGTGAAATTCTTCCCATTCAAACAACAGTAAATATGCTGTTTTAACTGTATATACTAAAGAAATATAATGTTCATAAGTGATGTGAAGCAGTGAAAAATACAGCCTCCAAATTATGTTTCAATATAATCAAAATCATCTTCTGTTTGCACTTCTATCTAGCATATACATTCAACAAATGTTCTCACATCTCATACTTTTCTATAACAACTGATCTGTCTCTCTCGCTATGCTTCTTGGTACAGTCTCTTTCATATCCAACTATTATACCCACAAAATTTGGAATTCAATCAACGAGATAAAACCGCACAACAGATTTTATTGCCATCTTCCAAAATAATTGCAGCCGGATTCAACACCGATCAATAAGCAGCAGCTCAGAAGAGAAAGTAATTTCTATTCAATAATTTGTTGTATAATTCACTCAAATTTACAGATCACGACCTCCACTCTGTTGAGGAGGTTACAAGAACAAAAAGTAACAGGGTAGACTTCTGCCGACATGTTACTTATGGATCTGGGGTTAAAATGTGCCGATTCTTTACCTTGGTGGTAACTGGGAAACAGCTTCACGATCCATCCTAACAGTTGATTAAGAATTTGGTAACAGCAAATACGAGTCCAATGTAAATCCAATCAAAGAAGTTTGCTGGTTCTCCGTCTTGAAGGTCCACCAGGAAAGAGCTTCATAAGCCATCCCAACACCCTTTCCACAACCTAGTACAAGAAGAAAAATAGATATTAATTCCTTTTTTTTTTTTAAGTTTTCTAATCTTTATAATCTACACTAGTTAATATGTTTTCAGCAACACCAACTACTTCCACCAAACAATATAGCCCAGGTATCTAATGTTCATCTAGATACTTGCACTACTCACAAGTAGTGACACTTTCCATTACAAAATAGTAGGCTGGGATTCATCATCAAGACTTCAAAATAAGCATGAGGATGTATAAATTGTGCAATAGACATGCAGACAACAATACGTTCACATGATAAAACATAAGTAAAATGAACATAGGTTACCTCGTCACCCTCATCTGCATATTGGGTGTTCTCATACATGGCGCGGGAATCTGGTTGCTTTGTAGAAATATTTTCATTGACCATGCTTTGAGCAGTCAAAAGCTCTAATCTTTGTGTCTGGATCTCAAGTTTTCGGGACAACTCCTTGTTTATTTCCTACCATCAGGAACATAAACAGCATATATTACAAGGTTAGACCAAGATACAACCAAACAGCCACACCAGAATGTCACAAACCAAAGCAAGAAAAATATCTAAAAATTAACTGAATTTTGAGAGGAAGTTCCCACATTTTTATTAATGCTGCAAATATATGCCTAAATAGTAAATATCTGTAATTTGAATTCAAATAATTTAGTTTGCAGGAATTTTTTTATATTTCGAATTCTTAGGATATTGTTTAGATAAAGATAAGGATATTATTCTTATCATTTAGATTTAGGACGCTAGCAGTTTGATTATAAGATTACAAGTACTTGAATAAAATTGATATAAGCTCTTCCACATATTACACCTCCTATTCTTTAAAAAAAATCCTACAGTATGCACATTCTAATTGAATTACCTTCATCCTAGAACACTCAGACGATTCCGAGGTCAAGGCTTTTATCAATTCTTCTTTCTCCAATGCCAGCTAAACATGAAAAGGCAGACAGGTTATGTGGGCTTGTTTGATAACAATTTAACACTACTCTGATATAGCATGGAATGGAAGGCAAGATGTGTGACAAAAGAAATTCTCCAAATAGTAATAAGCAACAGGAGGTGGAAACTGACTTCTCGACAGACCAAGTCCTACCTCAGAAATAAGTGCATTAATGTTCTCAATCATTCTCATCTGATCATGAGGAATATTAACAGGAGAAATGCCAAGTGATGAGTGTCTAATTTCAGGAACGAAGGACGAAATAGGAGCTTCAGCATCATTATCATTGATTTCTGGGTTGGAAGAGGTAGAAGTAGGATCTTCACTTGCTGCATTAAATATAGATATATAAACATAACTAGATACTAGACCAGTAAAATACTAAAAGTAATGGCGAGTACTTTAATAAAGTATAATTGGCGGTCATATTCACGAGTTAAACAAAAATCCTTGAATGAAGAGGAAAATATAATCCAAAAGAAAATTATTTACTCACGTGATTTTAACCACATATGGGCAAATACCAACAAGTGTTATATCAGCAGTAAAGATATAAGAAAAGATAAAAGTTTATACATGCTGAAAATATTGGATACCAGAAGTTGGTTACATTACCCGAGTACAAGACCTTCTTGCAACGAGTTATATAAAAGAATGTTTTAAAATTGTAAGGAACATAAGTTATATAAAGAACGCTTTAAAATTGTTAAGAAAAGACTAGTTGTATTGACTAGTTTACTAAAGCTATTCTTTTATGTAGTCAGAAAAGTTCTCCTAGTCTGAACTGGACCAATCATCCTTCTCGTGTATTCTTTTTGCTATTACATCCATGCACGCTTACATTCATATATATATATATATATATATATATATATATATATATATATATATATATATATATATATATGTGTGTGTGTGTGCGCGGCGTGTGTGTGCGCGCGGCGTGTGTGTGTGCGCGCGGCGTGTGTGTGCAGGCACATATTGCTGCTGAGTGAAAACACTCAAGCCTTTTCAACAACCCTAAATCTTCAAGTATAACAAATTTTATAGACTTGACATTTTTTGTATGCATATTTTGCTCGTGGATACTCAATAGAAGCTTTTCTGTTATTCACACTTAAGAATAAAAATTTAAAGATACAGGCTTGCGATGAAGATTAGTATGCAAGCGTTCAAATGATTTCAAAGACAGCATATGTAAATTGAAAAAGTATCACGAATACCAAGAACTGACAAAGTAATAGTGCTAACTGAGGCCAACAAACCTAAATCCCCTGTGGATGTAGAAACATCTCGTTTACTTGTTTGACTCTCGATAGACTTTCCAGTCCCTGAAGCCTTTCGCAGCTTAGAGAGCAGCATCTTCTTTTCTGAATAGCAAAGGATGAACATACATTTCTGAGTTAATAATATTTTACACAACTCAAAATACTAGATCAGCATTATTTGTAATAGTAACTATGTGTTACATTTGTCTCTACAAACACTAAAGATCAGCATTATTTGCAATAATATAAAACTTAAGTACAAGAAGCAAAGTACTTAAAATGATTGGAATTTGGAAAATCATGTGTGTGCAAGTTAGAGAGGGAGAGAAGTTTCATAGCTACAATCCAAAAACATTTGTTTTCTATTTTCTATTCCCATTGCCAGTTTATAAGCTTCAAATAATTATAAGCACCAACCTTACCGCTGCAATACACAATAAAAATTATAACTTAGAATCAAACATTAAAATCTGTGTACATCAAAATGCAGAAAGAAAATATAGTTAAAGTCTGATTACCTTCTTGGAGAGCATCGATAGTGGACTGCAAATCATGCCGGTCTTTATCTAGGCTAGACATTTTCTTTCTGCAATATTTATTCTGAACAGTTACTTTGATATGCCCAAGAATGAATTTAAAGAAAATATTATAAAATGCCAAAAAATCAACAAAAAGGAAGGAAAATGAAGAGCTGACATCAAGTCAAATTCCACAAGAATGAGATAAAACTATATTTAAACTAAAAATGCAGAGTTTTTAACCAGATTGGATATTAATCAAAAGTAATTGTGAAGGTTCAGAGAACAAGTAATTATAGAATAAAAGCTGACATGGCCGGCTTCCAACCCAATGTTGGATTAGGACCATTCTGCCAAAAACAAAATCAATTTAAGTGTAAGGTAATTTTAAGAGTTACCATCTTAATCACCAAAAATTGAATGTGAGTGAACATTCTCTCAAATAGTTCAATAAAACTTTCAATACATGAAAATTTATTTTAATATTTTTCTACTAGAGCAAGCAGTAAGAACTGCAAGGAAGTCAAATCTTTCATACAAGAAACAGATGCATGGAAGGTAATATGAGCAATTATTTTCAAAATTATTTCTTCAGAAATAAATTCCACTCGAGCAACTGTGCACCATTTACCCAAACATCCATGAAAAGTAGTGTATGAACATGTTTCTTGGATGCTTAGGTAGACAACGAAGGATAAAGGATGGCATCACTAGTTTTTTGTTTCATTATTTGGCTCTAACATCCTAGCACCTACCTCCTCTTCAACTCTTCACCAATGACATCAATTTTTTTTCCTAATTCTATGCTTTGAGCTTGTCCAATAATTTTTCAAATATTCAAAAATATCATCATCTAGAGAAAAATTACATGACACAAGAAGTTTCAATTGCAAGTCCCAGCAGCAAGATTAAATATAAGACTAGACTTGTGAACACAAATAACCTTCATATTAGTGCCATCTTTTTGGCCAGACACAATGATTGAATATTTCACAAATCACAATCGTGCCATCTATAGTTCATTTGAAGCATATTTAAAACCTAAATATTACCTGTATGAAGAAATTTCAGCTTGTGCATTTTCTAACTGCTTCTCGAGCTTTAGCTCACTGGATCTTAGTCTGAGTGCCTGACATGTTTGTTGAACACCACAAATTAAAGCTATAATCTAAAACATTTCCTAAATCTATATGCAAAAATCTACCTAAATGAGTTCAAATGGGGTACTGACATTTGCGGCCCCCTGATACAGGGGATAGACATCACATAACCACTATGCACAAAGCTAAAATATGGATGCGGAAATATTTTCCGAACTAGTCAACCCTTTAGGGTTTGAAGCCTGGACATCACTGGTCCACTTTACTTTGTACAGAAATTAAATTTAATTATATATTATAAAAAATGGGCTTACCACTCCATTATAGAGGTTTTATTAACAAATCAAATACGAGTTATCCAAAAATCTTTCAGTTTTTTGGAGGAAGTTTGTGAAAGGTTTTCAATATCGATTTTCTGAGATTCACATATTGGTAATTGTTAAATGTAATTTTTTTTTCCACTGTCCAAAATCAATTTTTTTCTGATATGTGCTACAAATAATCCAAGCTATTATATTTAATCTTTTGAAGTCTCCATATATACATTATTTGGTCATCAAACTCAGATCCTACCATGGATAAGATGAAAGGTTGACACTGAACATGGCTTCATAACATAACACAAGATTCAACCTCTAATATAAAATTATATTCAAAGAATAAATAGAGGAATAACATATCTAGAAAGCAAAACGTAAAAATAATCTTTAAAACTTGTATGACATAACTTTTAAAGTTTAATTATATATATATATATATATATATATATATATATATATTTTTAAGTATAATATATATATTAGACAGGTATATAAGTTTAAAAATTAATAATTTACCTAAAATTTACATATTCATCATTAACAAAAAAACAACTCAAAAATAGAAATAGAAAGTTCAAGGAAAAAAGGGAACGGCAGATTACAGAACAGACTGCCCAGACAACACAAGCAGCAGAACAGAGCAGGAAATGGTTGGTAAACAGGGATGGGGCTGGAACACATCTGGGTTGGCTGGAGACTATGGTCCATAGAAGTAGTTCAAAGGAGTTTTATCCAAGCAAAGGGAAGAGACACATTTCCGGCTTCTGCACACAAAACTAGGATTTTTTAATCCATTGACTGAATGAAAGGGGGATAAAGTCGTGTGATTTTGCCAACAAAACAACCAATTAATACCATGGCAGATTGGTAAAAATAGTTTTTAACCCACTGTTATAAATTGAGATTGCAAGTTCCACAAATGGACATCATTTTTATATGTGGCCACAACGAAAGCAAATGGAAAATAGGGGCCAAAGGGTACAGTGCAACTCTTCATGGCTATATCACAATAGTGTATGGATAAGTATAGTACCGATGCAAGGGCAAGAGCCCAAACACTCAATTGCTAGAACCCAAGACAGTGCACACAATCACTTCCACAACAAGTATTCTTGCAGAACTAAGTTGTAGTGTTCGTGTGTTGCAATTCAAATGTCAGTTTCAGGTCAATTTGGCTCTTCTGGGAATTGTGAAACTTCCCATGCTATATCAAATGATTCCAGGATAGTTTGGACCTCTAGATTCTACGATTTTGCAAAGTGGGATGGAATGTATGCGAACAAGAACAAGGTTTTAATCAGGAACATTCTAGCCATAATGTGTATGATTCTGTATGTTGACAGAATTTTGACAATAATGTATTATATGTTGTATCTGAGGATTGAAGCATAAGGAAACAGTCAAAATAGTTAGCCAATCAGATTCATTGGTCCGGTTCATTTCATGATAATTCCTTCGGCAAATCGTTGGAAATATTAATAACACCTATTTTTTAATTTGTCATTTCCATCTGTTTTGAATAATATTGTAGTCATCAGTTAATTTCAGATGATAATAGAGTAGGTAGTTAGATATGAGAAAATGCCCAAACATGATGAAGACAACAAAAATTCAAACCAAGTTCAGTTAACAGCTTGGTTCGGATAAAAGATGGGAAAAACTAAATTATATCCTCAAAATTACAAATGGCAAAACATACCAAGAAAAATCAGTACCTTCTCCTCTAAACCAATAACTTCAGATGCCAATAACTTTGCCCGCTCATCAGCTGCATTACATTCTAGTTGTGCATTTGTATATTCACTCTTGAAAGCCTCAAGCTCAACCTGTTGACATGAAGCCATTCCAATTTCAACCAAACATAATCAACAATCAATGTGGTAAAACTTACACACAATTTGATGTACTAGACACTTTAGCTCCAAGCAGGACCTCAATAATCTTAAATTTTGGGAAAACACCAGACTGTGCAAAAATCATTGATGACCAACTTCATTGATATATAAAAAATATTTTTTAATTTATAATAACTACAAAATTGAAAAAATAATTAAATTCATAAAAATATTTTTAAAACATGATCTAGTAATATAAATAGAAGCAAGTGTGCAAACGAACTTGCAATGCTAGATTATCCATGATGGTATAATGGAATAGCAGTTACCAGCACAGCCAAATAATCAGGCAAATAGATAGCGAACAGGTAGCATTGATACAAACCAGTTGAGCTTTGATATCTTCTTGTAACTTCTCCATATCCGATTTTAATTGGTTGACAACACTTCTCTACAAAATCAAGGAAACAAAAAATTGTGACTGCTTATCACAAAAGTAAACACAATGCACCAAATTAAATTCAGAATAAGTTTTTAAGTGATACCAAGATAACAAAGATCAAAGTACTAACACAATTACTACGAAACTAACCCACCATCTAAAAGAACTACCCTAGCCTAATTAAGTTCCATTATAATACACCCACAACTAAAAGATCAAAGTCAGAGCACATTTACACTATTTCTGTAACACAAGACTAATTAAGTTCCCAAAATCACACAAGCCAATATGTTCAGAAGTTTCATCTCATAGCAAAGGAGTATAGTACAAGTAACCCAAAATTCACTATCTTCAATAAAATCATAACAATGGCTGCCTCCAGTTACTGGAAACCTATTGTTCTCCATGTTAAATTATTAACATTAAATAGCTCAATAAGAAATATCATGATTAGCACAATGGATAGACAACTTATGTTCTGAAATGCTGAAAGCATGTTTTATAATAGCTAATAAAGTTGTTACTTACCCGTAGCACAGGTTTTAAAAAAAAATAGATAACAAAAGAATGTGATAAAAATAAAAACTGCAACAGTGTCAAAGTTGAATATTCTTCAAAATTATATACTGCAATCCATAGGCAAACCTGCTGATTATAATTATCAGTTAGAGTTGAATTTTCAGTAGCTAGTGACTCTGCTAACGCTTGAGAAGCCTCAAGAGCACGTTGCAATGAAAACTTCTCTTTTGTTAAATCTTCAATATACTGCAAAACAAAAAGGGGACAAAAATATAAACAAATATAACATTTGCTTTTCTCATATAATATAGGCGTGATAAACAAATATGTATATTAAATGAGTGCATTTTCATAAGAAAAATTTCAATATCAACTAAAAAAATTACAATTTCATTCACGTATAATAATTCAAAACTATTAAAAGTTCAGAGACATATAAAAGACAAAAGAGGAAACAAATAGGGAAAGCATAATGTATGACTGACTACCCATGGAAGAAGGGATAGACAAAGTAAAAAAAGAAAACAGATATATTCAGTTTCTACAGTTGTTAATATAACCAATATGTAGTATTTCCATTGTTGTAAGTTCACCACTCATATAACTGACATATCAGAGAAGAACCTTGCAATAGTAAATAGTGAGGTTACATCCCACCTGTACGACTGATAGAACACCAATTAATAAAATAAAATACAATATTGAACACTGAAATCAAACACAAGACAGCAATAGACTTTGCTGACCCAGAGACAAAAGTCTCCTACAGAGAGCATTCTCTGTCAATAAACAGCAAATAACTTCACACTCTGTAATTACACAACCTAATATCAGATAGAAACTCCTCATACATACTACTAACAGTTATTTTTCACATGTAACAGTCATCCTGCAGTTTCTAGTACAAAACTGTTATCTATAAAAGCAGTCATTTTCAACATCTAACTGCCATCCCGAAGTTTCTAATACCAAATTGTTTTATGATAAATTTGCTACATGACACTTTATTTTCTCTGAACTATACTCGTAATAATTAACTACCTCCAAATCCATTAATAGAACTAACTTGGATATACTAATTACTGAAATTCTCCAGCAAGAACGGATGGACATAATGGGCAATTTATATCCACATTCCATTGGGTTTAACTAGAGAAGCATAAACATTCCAATCACATACAGAAATATCTTAGTCCTAAACTATTGACATTCATTGCACAACTAAAGAACAAAATCATCAAAATTTTCCCCAACTCAAAAAAAAGGTAGGCACATTTCAGTACATATTTGGCATATCATAGATATCCCCCGCAAACAAATGCTTATACAGCCACAGACATTTATGTATCTAACAAACAAAGCACAGAACTCATCAATCTGAACCAATTAATTTTTTACACTAATTCATCAAGTAAGCATCCGCAAAGTAAAGAACTATTTCATCATATAACAGGCTCCAAGAAAGTACATCATCACTTTAGCTAGCAGAAACCACCTGTTCTAAAGCAGCAAAGTCTTCATTTTTTGAAGGTGGTGAGTAATATGAATTCTTCTTCTCCATGCCATTTTCCTTGGCACTTTCCAGAGCACCTTGATTATCATCATCAATAACAGAAGGGGTTGTCAAGCGCTCAAGTGGTCGGTGAACATTCTCAGTTGTAAAATTTGGGAAAAGTGGCACACTTTTATTCTCTTCAAATGGCTTATGGAAATTAGTGGAGCCTGACATATCATTGCTACTTGATTCTAAATGATTGGACATAGAGGAACTTTGCTCAGATTGATGAAATGGAGAGCCCAGAGAAGTTCTGGTGACATTTAGAGAATCAAGAAAAGATGGACGAGACCTCCTAGAACTAGACTCCGTTGGAAATGAATGTATTAGTGTATTATAAGAGGAACTTCTTTGTTCAAAACCTGTGGAATCATATTTTGGTATTGTTGCACCATGAAGACTAGGCAGCTTATTATCAAAAGTAACAACAGTTTCTTTAAATTTGGAACTGAAAGAATCACTGAAGCCTGAAATACAACATATATTATGCACAACAATATCAGCAAAGAGCACTATGTGATTGTCAGGTTAAATGAAAAAGGTAAAACAATAAACAAATTACAAAAATTTCAAAACTCAAAACAAAGAAATGAAAAATAAACTGTTACCTCCAGAAAGTGAACTATGTGAGTAGCCACTATCTAAAGTGCTAGAATTTGTTGGCTTGATTTGCTGTAGAGTATCAACAGAGTTAGGAGGTAAGATTTTAGAAGACATATATGATGTGAGATTATCGGTAACCGCATACTCCCTCACAGAGCTGTTACTCTTGTTTGACTGGTTGTCATTCATCCCATGAAAACTGAATTGATTAGCATTAGTATCAAATTCTTGACTTTCTTGCAGGTGTAGAGGAACACTTTGGTTGTTTGTTGACCCGTATGGAATTCCATATATATCATTCACCTTATTTGTAACATTGTTCTGACTAAAATCTGTAGATGTGGGAACTATAGAAGCATTGTATCTCTTATCTTCATCAATATTGGAATGTGCCTCCACCAAACTTGTAGATGGTGTATTAAGATCATTCCTCAAAACAGAAGTTCTACTAGATAAAGACCCTTGATTAGTACTTTGACTAAACAAATTCAGAGTCTTGTCATTACTAATCCCTGAAGTTGAAGTGTCGATAACAGCTCCTCCCACACCATCAGATGTGGTAACACCATCTGACTCATTAAAGCGTACATTTTCAACTTCAGAAGATTGTTTTTTATTCATGTTATCATCAGAATTGTGAACTTGGCTAGAGGATGAAGTCTTCTTGGCCCGCTCTGCAGCTTTCTTTTTACGAAACTCCTCCAACTGCAAGACCCAAAAAGCAAATATTTGAGATTCACAGAAAAATAAAAAGGTAAATATTAGTACAGAATAATTTAGATATAAATACAAAATAAAATTAATGATATGAGAAATCAAATTGCATTGAAAATATAAGGAATCTATAAGATATAAAAACCATTCATGTCTGCCATCACGTTGAGCTTAGGCTATTGATGTAGTTCTTGACAAGGAATCAAAGCCTCTATGATCATGAGATCTACCGTTTGTTCCTTGTTACAGGACCAATTCTTTTAATTAAAAGATAAATTTCAACACAGGTTAAGGTAGACCAATTAATAGCACACTCTTCAAGCCCAAAGGGTTATTGCTATAGGGGGTGTCAAATATAAAAAAGCAATTCATGAGTCGTCACCCAACAATTTAAGCTTTAGAGATAGTTGGTTCTGGACTGAAAGGCTAGATCATGCACAACTATCAAAGTGGAAGTGACACACCAATATAGAGCCCCTAGCTAAAAATTAGAAACAAAAGATGCCCTTTTTTATTCAAAGAGAAACGCCTCTATCCGAGAGTTCTAAGATTAAGGGAAGGGAAGTGTTGGAAGTCATATCATATGGTATGGTTTAAATATCTGTTAAATTACTCCACATATTGCCAATTAGTTTTATGTTGGAACCTTAACATGGTATTAGAGCCAAAACCTAAATTATTTCCAATTATAGTCTTGGACCAAAAGTTGTTCTTTCATTGTGGGTCAAAAGTACCCTTTATTGTTGTCTTGGGCCAAAAGTTGCCCTTAAAATACCCTTTCTCTGGTCCAATAGGTTTCGTTGGAGGGAGCATGTTGCAACATCCCACATTGCCTGTTTAAATACTTGTTACCCTACTCCACATATTTCCAATTGGTTTTATGTTAGAACCTTATCAGAAAGTAATGAACATTTTCATCACCAAGAGAGTGAAAAGATTCAGAAACTTTGGTCTAATTAATGACAATATGACAGCTCCTCCCCTTTCAATAACATTCTAAAAGGAAATAATATTCTAAACCGAATGAACAACTCAGTCACTCCAGAGTAACTACACAAAGGGACTTGAATTATATTAAATAAATCAAGGTGAGATTTACTAATATAAATTGCTCCCTCCCGTCCTTAAAATAAGACACTTCCAACACAATCACACAGACAAATAAAGGTAATTAATTCAGTTTATTTGTTTTAATTTTCAAAAACAATGTTACCATGTACCAAATTTACCCTCATTGTTAATGGCTTTTAAAATTCTCTTATCACTATTTATTGATAAAAAACACATATTCATAATATTTATTAGGGGAAAACAAGGAAAAAAAATAATGCTTCATAGGAACTATAAAATGCATTATAAAAAGGACCACAAAAAGTCCAAGATTTAAATTAATGCATAAAAAATATATAAATGGATAAAAATATATAAAAAAAATTAATGCTTCATAGAAACTAAAAAAATGCATTATAAAAAGAACCACAAAAAGTCCAAGATTTAAATCAAAGCATAAAAAAAACACAAGTTCAGCCATTTAGCACTCATAGGAAAATCTTCTTTAAACAGATAAAACACAGTTATTCATCACAGATAGTGGCACAAAGTGGCCAACCCCTGAACTTAGCAGATGACAGCTATTATGAAATTCCACATATAAATTAAATAATTTATATTACATATATAGATATACAGATGTTTCAAAAATGAAAATATCCATAAATAAAGGTATATTCATATTCATAATTAATATACAAACACATAATTTTAAGGCGGTCATTGAAGTTAATAACAATAATAGTTAAGCAATAAGGAAAAAGGAAATACAACAAGAAAGGGCAACATAATTTACACAAGGTTACCAATCTAAACACAAAAATGCATGAAAAAAAATTAAAACAAAACGTAGACCCCTCTTCAACGTGAACAGAAAAAAAGACAAAAGAGCAATGTTTTAGTATTCCATCATGCGCTGATTGGCTGGAAACTCCAACAGAGTGCTATGGCTGGCCAGAAACTCGACTGAAGCACCATTGTTGGCCTGAAAATCCACCATAGAGCCATGGGTTGGTCAGAGACACAGCTGGGAGCTCTAGGTCAGATGTTTTCCGAACAAGAGAAGAGAGACCAGCATCATTTAACTTTCATGTGGAGACTAAATGGGGAAATAGGGCAAGGTGAAACAAAAAGGAGCATAAATCCCAAGAATTTGTGCCTTACACAGCACCACACGTAAAAATCAAGGGGCAAATAAAAAGGAGTTTTGTCTATGAACCAATATAGTGGTAGCCATGACCATAGCCACACAACACGCCTCAGTGCTGCTATAGTCTTCATATTGACTACTCTAGGATTAAAAGGCATCTTTAATGGGAACAATGATCAATATATTGTTCCTAATCAGTAAATGGCTCCCTTGGTTGTACGATACTGTTGAAAGTCCCACATCACCTACCTCATATCAGTTGGTATGGTTTAAATACATGTTAGGCTATTCCACATATTGCCAATTGGTTTTATGTTGGAACCTTAACATGGTATCAGAGCCAAAGCCTAACATCTTTCCGGATATTGTCATGGGCCAAAAGTTGCCCTTTAGTTGGGTCAAAAGTACCCTTTGCCTGGTCCGGCAGGCTTCGTTGGAGGGGGTGTGTTGAAAGTCCCACATCACCTACCTCATATCAGTTGGTATGGTTTAAATACATGTTAGGCTATTCCACATATTGCCAATTGGTTTTATGTTGGAACCTTAACAACTTGATATTCAAAGACTGAGAAAAAATGTTTTTAGAGGGCTTAAAGAACCCCTCTCATAGTTCTGTATTTATATAGATAAAAACTGATACAATAGGGAGATTACATTAAATGCACACTCCTAGATTACTCCTCAGAACTAGGTGCAGAGATTATCTAACACTCAACCCCCTTGCAGAGATTATCTAACACTCAACCTCCTACCTTAGGTATAATGATTACATATATTTTCTAATCTATTCCAACACTCCCCCTCAAGCTGGAGCATACAAGTTGTATGTACCAAGCTTGGAACAAATGAACTCAATCCGAGGTCCCCTTAAGGACTTGGTAAACACATCTGCGAGTTGGTCATTTGATCCAACAAACTCGGTACATATTTCTTTTGTCAACAACTTTTCACGAACAAAGTGACAATCAATTTCTATATGTTTAGTTCTCTCGTGAAATACGGGATTTGATGCAATGTGGAGTGCAGCTTGATTATCACAATACATCTTCATAGTCTGGATATCACAGAAGTTAAGCTCTTGAATGAACTGCTTTACCCATATAAGTTCACAAGTTAGTGACGCCATTGCCCTATATTCGGCTTCAGCTGTCGATCGAGCCACTACATTCTGTTTCTTACTTTTCCATGAAATAATGTTTCCTCCAAGGAAGACACAATATCCAGTGGTAGACCGTCTATCAACAGGTGAACCTGCCCAATCTGCATCACAGTACCCAGTGACCTGAATGCTTCCTTTATCTTCATATAACAATCCTTGTCCGGGAGCCTTTTTAAGGTACCTTAGAATGCGAATGATAGCATTCCAATGACCAGCACATGGAGTCTGCATGAACTGACTAACCACTCCAACAGCAAAAGATAGATCAGGCCTTGTAATAGTGAGATAAATCAGTTTTCCGACCAGCCTCCTATATCTCTCTGGATCAGAGAATACTTCACCTTCTTCTGTTGTTAATTTCTTATTTGGGTCCATAGGACTCTCTACAGGTTTACAGTCAATCATACCTGTTTCTTGTAATATATCAAGAGCATATTTTCTCTGAGAGATTACAACTCCATCTTTTGATTGAGCTACTTCAATGCCCAAGAAGTATTTTAGGCTTCCCAAATCCTTGGTTTGAAAATGTCTGCACAAGTACTCCTTCAGTTGAGATATTCCAACAGTATCATTTCCTGTAATGACTATATCATCAACATATACTATTAAGAAAACACATTTACCCAGAGATGTATGACAATAAAAGACTGAATGATCTGCTTCACTGCGTCTTAGCCCAATTTTTTGAACAATGGAGCTAAATTTTCCAAACCAAGCACGTGGTGATTGCTTGAGGCCATATAGAGAACGATGCAATTTGCATACTAGTTCAGACTCCCCCTGAGCAACAAACCCAGGAGGTTGCTCCATGTAAATTTCGTCCTCAAGATCACCATGTAGGAAGGCATTTTTGATATCTAATTGATGAAGTGGCCAGTGACGAATGGCAGCCATTGCGAAGAACAGACGAATAGTGGTCATCTTGGCCACGGGAGAGAAAGTGTCACAATAATCAAGGCCATAAACCTGAGTGTACCCTTTTGCAACTAACCGAGCCTTGAGCCGATCAACTGCACCATCGGGGCCGATTTTAACGAGCATATACCCAGCGGCAACCAACCGCCTTTTTGCCCGGTGGAAGGGGAACGAGCTCCCAAGTAGCATTATGGTCAAGAGCCTGCATTTCTGCAATCATGGCTTGTCGCCATCCAGGGTGATCAAGTGCTTCTTCCACATTTCTCGGAATAGCAATAGAAGATACTGAGGATAAAAGGGAACAATAGGAAGGCGACAACCGGTGATAGCTAAGAAAATTATAAATAGGATGTGGGTTTCGAGTGGAACGAGTACCTTTTCTCAGAGCAATGGGCCATCCTGAATCACCTCCACTAGGAGTCATGGTAGGAAGCGATGTTGGAGAAGAATCTAAAGTGGGGGATTCACCCTCGTCTTGGAGAACAGGACTAGCCATCGGGGTCCTATGATTGACAACATCAATTTGAGGGGATGATGGTTCAGGAAGACTTGGATCACTACGGAGATCGATAGAGACATTGGAAATATTAGACTCAACTACTGGAATGGGAAGAACTTGCTGTATGACATGAACATCTTGAACAGAAGGAGAAAAGTAAGGAGTCTGTTCAAAAAATGTAACATTGGCAGACATGTAGTACTTCTTGGTTTCAGGAGAGTAACACCGATACCCTTTTTGAAGGCGGGAATAGCCCAAGAAGACACATTTGATAGCACGAGCAGAAAGCTTGTCTAACCCGGGAGACATATCATGAACAAAACATACACAACCAAAAACTCGAGGAGATGTGTGAAAGAGAGGATTATTTGGAAATAGAATGGAGAAAGGGATCTTATTACTGAGAGAGGAAGATGGCATCCTGTTAATAAGAAAACATGCAGTTAAGATGGCATCCCCCCAGTGATGGACAGGAATATGAGCACCCAGCAAAAGAGTACGTGCAGTTTCAACCAAATGTCTATTTTTTCTTTCTGCTATACCATTTTGTTGTGGTGTATGAGGACAGGTGGACTGATGCAATATTCCATGTGAACTCAAAACAGTAGAAAAGGTGGATGAGAAGTACTCTTTAGCATTGTCGCTTCTTAAAATTTTGATTACTTGACTGAATTGATTCTTGATTTCATTCAAAAAGGATGTAAAGATGGGTAACAATTCAGAGCGATCTTTCATAAGATAAACCCAAGTACATCGTGAATATTCATCAATGAATGTAACAAAATACCGAAAACCAAAAGATGAGATGCGACTGGGTCCCCAAATATCAGAATGGATAATAGAGAAACTGGAAGTACACTGTGATTGAGACCGTTTAGGAAAGGTAGATCTAACATGTTTCCCTAGCTGACATGACTCACATTCTAAGGTCTGGAGACCACTAAGTTCAGGACACATTCTTTTTAATTTTGACAAATGAGGATGGCCAAGCCGATCATGTAACATTTTAGGGCTCGGAGTAGCAACACAGGACACACGTGGACGAGGACCAAAAAGGTATAATCCTCCAGCTTCATATCCTTCTCCAATCTGTCTCCCCGAACCACGCTCCTGTATAACAAAAGATTTGTTATCGAAGGTTATTGAGCAATTTAAGGTTTTGGTTAACTGACTTAAGGAAATCAAATTGAAAGGACAATTAGGAATAAAAAGGACAGATTTTAGGCTTATGGAAGGAAATAAAGAAACTTGGCCCACTCCCTTTGAGGAAGCTTTAGAGCCATCTGCAAGGGTTATGAAATGTTGTTTTTCTTGAAAGGAAATGGTTGAGAACAAGGAGGTATTACCAGATATATGATCAGAAGCACCAGAGTCAATTACCCATGAATTTTGACCCTCCACAGATTGAGAAATGCAAGCAGTTGATGTGCTGGCAGTTTGAGAGGTATGTGCCAAGCTATTAGACTTTAACCGTAGATACTCTTGGTATTCGTCCTCAGTGAACTTGGAGTTGACGGTTTCAGCCTTGGAGACATTGGCAGTTTTGGGAGGAAAACCATGCAAGGAGTAGCAGTTCTCCTGTGTATGACCCATCCTCTTACAGTAGGTGCATTGGGGACGTCCTCGACCTCCACGTCCTCCTCCTCTGGTGCCACGTCCTCCTCTTCCTCGTGTGGCAACCATGGCAGATGGTTCTACTAGAGCCAGAGCTTCCTGAGTCTCAGACATTGGTACACGAATCAGACGTGTGATAAGGGTATCCATGGAAGGGACTTCATAAGTGGTCAGAAGTTGATCTCTGATATGGTTAAAGTCAGGATGTATTGCGCGAAGGATCATCACCATGTAATACTTGTCAAGCTTCTTTTTCATTTCATCTAAGGAATCGACTTCCAAGAACATCTTGAGTTCTTCCACAGCCGACTGGGCGTCATTCATAAAGGACACCATATCATGATCTGTCATTTTTAGAGATGCCAGCTTATTTGCGGAATCGTAGAGACGTTGAATATCATTGGCATAAATGGTTTGAGCTTTCTTCCAAAAGGAGTGACAAGTTTTGAAGGCTCTAAGCGACATCAAAAGTCTTGGTTCCACTGATTGCCACAATAGAGCACATAGCTGAAAATCTGCCTGTTTCCACTGTTCAGCTTTTTCTTCCGGCACATGGCTTCCGTCTTTTTCAAGGTGGTCGTGATGCCCCTGACCAAGAAACCACATTTCGACGGTAGCAGACCAAGATAGATAATTTTGTCCGTTTAGTTTTTCGGAAGTAATGGAGGGGCTTCCAGAGAATGAAATTGCAGCCATTTCTGATCAAGAGGACAAAGACCAGTGAGGAGGGGGGCGAAAAACAGCAAAGAAGTCCGAAAGCCCAAGAGTGATTTTCGCAAGGGTGACTACTGGACTTCACCGAAATAAAGAGGCGGCGCGTGGCGGAGAACGAGCTTCCGGGACCGACGGGGTTGGCTGTCGCACGGCGAGACGATTCAGATCCGGTGGTCGCGGGCGAAAAACTGGACGATCGGAGACGGTGGCCGGAGGCGGCCGGAGGTTGACGGTGGCCGGAGGCGGCCGGAGGCGGACGGTGGCCGGAGGTTGACGGTGGCCGGAGGTTGACGGTGGCCGGAGTTGGACGGTGGCCGGAGTTGGACGGTGGCCGGAGTCGGACGGTGGCCGGAGTTGGACGGTGGCCGGAATCGGACGGTGGCCGGCGGCAGACAGCGGCAAAAACAGTGCCGGATACTACAGAAACAGGCAGAGCGAGATCGACCCGCTCTGATACCAACTTGATATTCAAAGACTGAGAAAAAATGTTTTTAGAGGGCTTAAAGAACCCCTCTCATAGTTCTGTATTTATATAGATAAAAACTGATACAATAGGGAGATTACATTAAATGCACACTCCTAGATTACTCCTCAGAACTAGGTGCAGAGATTATCTAACACTCAACCCCCTTGCAGAGATTATCTAACACTCAACCTCCTACCTTAGGTATAATGATTACATATATTTTCTAATCTATTCCAACAGATACACTAATTAGTTTATTTTCCATGGAATAATTTTGTAAATTTATCACTCCCCAAATGGGCATAAATTATTATATTCTTGAATAATTTAGGTTAATTGAACCTTATCTTAAAGAACATGCTTTCATTATGGTTTTAGCACGTAGGAACTAGTACTTTTCCTAGGCATAGATTCTATTAATGATTCTAGAAGTATAGACTATAAAAAATCTCGGAAGAAATTAAAAGATTCTTGAAAAAAGGGAACTGGGAAGAAAGATCAGTATTACAACAATACAATCTTATTATTCAGGAAGCAGCCTCCCTGGTTGTATGATGCAAATCAAACCCAGGATTCAATACAGATTAAGTTGGTGGGTAAATGACCAGATCAGGCTACTAATGGAACCAGCTAGTAAATATTAGGTAGTCAAGGGCTAAACAAAAGCATAAGTGTGACTGAGATTAATGCAATGATGGATGAGCAACAAACAAAAAAGGACTAAATCCCTAAAAAGGGGGAAAATTAGTGATTGTTTGTTTACTATTTTTAAAAATTGTTTTCAATTTTGTAGTTTTTAAAAAACTATTAAGCCTAGTTTGATAACTATTTAGTGAAAACAGTTTCCAGAAACTGTTTTTTCTTTTTAGTTTTTAAGATCTAAAAATCAAAATTGATGAAAGGTGTTTTTTGTTTTCATTAATAACATCAATGTCTTCACCACTAATTATACTACATCAACAATCATTATGAAATTATGAAAAATCATCAACTTTTCATCATCATCAATATCATCCTCTTTTGTCTAAAAGAATTTTTAGACCAGAGTTACTAAAGAAATTATTTTCAACTCATTTCTAAAAATAATTTTTCAAAATTGATCTCTAAAACTGTTTAAAAACTAACAAACAAAACTAAATCAAACAAGCCCTTACTCTCCTATCGCTATTCTTGTTATCCCAAAGCAAAAGACAGAAGCTAAGGTTTTAAAGATCGGTCTTCCGCCACAACTTTGGCTGTAATTTCAAGGTTTTTGGTCTTGAAGTCCGATAGCAGCCGCATTTGTCTGAAAATTCCAGCAATATCAAGTTACATGACTGACCCATGACTACAATTAAAAACCTTGGTAGCACCCTAAAAAAGAATCATAAGCTTTCTAAACCCAAAAAATGGATCCTCATGCAATCAGCTACTAGATGACCAAGCTCCATCCGAAGTCGAATAGACTTTCCTCCTGAATGTACTCAGAAATAGGACCACCATCATTATTCCCTTCAACTGCCTTAAAAGACTGACATGCAATGCGTCATAGAAGATCACCAATTTCACTTCCTTTCAGCTCCCACCAATCATTTCACTATTTCCTTCCCTTTAACATCCCAAACACAATCAGTAAAACAATCCAAGAGTTACAAATGTTCACGACTAGCAAAAATAAATAAATTCCATCCAAGTCCAATCACGAAAACTAAACCCTACATCGAACTACCCACATTACTCTCAGGTGCACAAATGCGCAACATTATAACAACAGAAAACACAGCATTAAGCAAATCAATAAGAGATTTCCTAATTCCAATCTCCAACAAGTCCATAACCAGAACAAAAACGAAACAACGAAACCAAATTAATCAATCAAACAAATCCATACCCGGCGCTTGCCAGCTTCAAGATGCTCTTGCTTCCGCGACGACGCGGCGGAGTTAGGCAGCACCTGAGCCGACGCCATTAGAGAACCACAAGCGAACGATCTAGAACGAAAAAATACGCACAAATTCAAAACCTCAACGCGCAAATCGCCATCACCGTGGCAATGGATCCGAATCAAACAGCCCCAAACCCTAGCATGAGAAGGAATTTCCCAGATCGCGTAAAACGGGAACGAGAACGGTGCAAAGAAGGAATGAACAACAATGGGGGAATAATTTGAAAATTTTGAGAAATGAAACGTCGAGAGGAAGAGAGGAATCGAAATTGCGCGCGGTGTGTTGGGCTTCAGACAGAGGGTGTCCGATCTGATCGGAGAGAGAGGGAGAGAGAGATTTGGGTCTCTCTCTTGGATTTGGGGTTTTCTTTGTATTTTTGGATTTTTATTTTGTCTTTTTTTTGGCTCTCGTTTGCAACGTTTTTTTTTTGGAGCAGATGAATTCAGGTGAAACTGGTTTTGAACTAATTTGGGTGCCACGGTGGAAATTACCAAAGAGGACATGTGTCAATCGCAGTTCACTTCAAACCATTTAATATTTCTGGGATTTAAAAAGTAAAATAAAATTAGTTTAAAATATGTTTCGCTAATTTTTCAATAGGAAAATCTAATTTGATTTCTTAATTTAATTTTGTGTTTTTTAATAAATCTCTTCACCGTATTATCTTTTATTTTTTGGAAAATAGCCATTAAATAGTGTGTAGAATTTTATCTCTATTTTCTTATATCATATATTTTAAACTACCGATAAGAAAATAATTCATTATTCATCGTGTTTATCCACAGATAAATATATTTAGTTTGTTTATTAAAAATATTTCAAATAAAATAAATATACTCATTTTATTTTATAAATAATTAATGATTTATTTAACATTTTTCAAAAAATAATAAATTTGTCCTAGAATAAAATTAATTCAACTTATATTTGAATGTATATTATACTTGTGGATAAATTGGATGTACATCCACAAACAAATTAATAACAGATAGATTATATTATATTTTTATAAAATGAATCAAAAAAAATATTAAACTTTTAATAATTTAATATAATATTTTATCTAATTAAATATAATTGAAAATAAAACTTATATACGAGAGAGGTGATTTATTTGCAAGTTTTGTGAGTGAATATTTGTATGAAATAGAGGTTCTAGCTCCTCCACTAATGTTTGGAATTTATTAAAAGTCAACCATACATAATAATTGAGTTAAATATGGATAATATAGTTAATGTAATTTAATTATCGAATAAGAATATAATAATTGAGAGTTAATTGTTGATAGTGGTTTATTTTATGTAATCTCAAATTTCATGTATGAATTTAATAATAATTAATAATTAATTATATATGGTAATATTGATACATGATAATCATACTTGAAATGCGATATATTTTCTATCTATTAGTTATTGGATTAGATATAAAGCAAATTTTTAATTAATTTTACATCGTAATTTTTATTCATATTATAACCCCTCAACATATTTATTACGTATAAATACACCAGGTGAAGACATAGAACGTGATTTATTTTATTTTTAAAAATAGTTTTAGATATATTTTTTGTTTTAAAATTATTTTAAATTAAAGAAGATAATATCGATAATGATAAAAATTGAAAATAAAACTTTCAACAAAAATTTTTATATCATAAAAATGAATTATATAATATAATTATTGATAAATATATAAATATATGATATTACTTCATTATTAATTTTAGTTTTTCAATCCTTATAAACTAAAAAATAAAATATAGTTTTTGAAAACTACTTCTAAATAGTTATCAAATAATTTTTAAAAACTAAAAGTTAATTTTCAACCCTGACATTTTTAATGAAAAAATAATATAAATTGACATTATTTTTCATTTTCATTAATTTTTAACTCCATCCAACAACACATTGCGCACCATTGTTTTTCTCATAAACACAATTTCATGTTTGATAACATCCAATTAAAAATAAAAAAGAGGTTTGAACTTAAAGTTTGTTATTCAAATTTTAGCCTTAAAATAAGTTTACGTTAAAATAATTAACCAAGCATTGCTTAAATACAAATATACTTTCATTTCAACTACATTAAGTAGTTGGAAACTGAAGAAAAAAAAATTGTATTAAAATATGGTCCCAACGAAGAAGAAGAGGACAGGCGTTTGGGTGGAAAATCGACAAAAAGAATGGAGTATTTGAAAATGTATCAGACCATGTGATTCTTCTGAAAATCGTTTTGTTAAAAACAGTATATTATAATATAGAAAAACTAATATGTTAAAAAACTAAAATTGTAAAGTAAAATCTCATAAATTTTAATAAATTTATACATTTTAAACAAAATAGCAATATAACACTGTTTTAAATTTAAATATAGCAATGAAATTTTAGATATACCCATCCAACCTTTATTGAGTGTTTTTTTTTTCAATATTTTTTTTTCAAATTGATACAAAATATTTAGAATTACCTACAACTAGAAATGATAAAATCTGTAAAAAAAATTAGCATGCTGAATTTTTTATGATATTGTCCAATTTAACGCAACTAATATACATGTATTTTTTTTTCTATTAAACAATCTCTCTTTTGTTCATTATATTTTTTGAACGGGTGTTAGCCTTTCTTTCATATTACATACATTGATATTGATTTCATATAAACAGATACCCATCAAATATTTATTGTATCTGGTTATACTATTTCTGTGTTAAAATATTTTTATTTATGTTGTATTCAAAATATCTTATACTATTCTCATTTTTCTCTCTTTTTTTTTAATTTTCAAAAGCATTGTATTTATATTTTAATACAACTACTTTTACCGATATCAAGTCAAATTATTTTATTTCCATTGATGGCAAAAAAGGGAAAATTTTGGATATCTTGTAAGAAATATCTATCATCTTATATGAATAATAATCAGTGTTAGATGTTAACTTATTAAATATAGGATAATAATTTTTCAATTAAAACTGAACTTAAATATTTTTATTTTGAAATTAAAATACCTAAATAATTTAATAATCTTACAACTATATACTGAATAAAAAATATTGATATTTTTATAACAATAAAAATTTGTCAACAATATTGATATTTACAAATAAAAATATTAAAACGAAACAAATTAGATAAGATATAATAAACAAATATAATGCATAATCGTTTAATTGTTTGTTGTTATTATTCTTTAATTATTTTTATTAATTATTCTTAAATATAATCAAGCCCGTAAATAATAAAATGAAAAGATTATAAAAATGGTTTCATTTATATAGTTGATGTTGATGGGTAAAAATAAGTTAAAGGGACAAGATTCATCTTTTAAATGGCATCTAATTTCTTTAAGGGCACGGGCACTCGATTCTAAATAATGTGATTTGTACGAGATTGAATATAAGATTTTATAATCCAAAATATCATGGAATGTTCCTCACGAAAGACTGAAAAAATCTACGAAGATACAAATGTTCATCCATTTAAATTTTGATTTGTTATAAAATTCTTATCAATAGGGAATACCTGGGATACAAGTAATCCAACACAATCAGATACGTCGTTGTCTACATCAATTTATTTTTGTATCTACCCTTTTCACCTTTTGTTTTGAAAACTTGTTAGAAACATCAGAGAAGTACAGCATATGATATGTGATTCAAGGCTCTCACTATCTATCTTGGTTTCTGATTCCTCAAAACAATCACACTTGCTTGAGTCACAAGTTTGTTATAGTAGTGTTGACATTTCATGTTCACTTAATCACATAAAACTAGTGACTTAAGAATATGAAACAAGGAACATGAAAGATTTCCCAAATAGTTGATGGCCAAAAGAGTGAGAGAAATGTTGGAATTAACCATTATTTACCCCAATTAAGTTTCTGCCCTATCGTTCTAGAAATCAGAGCAAAGATGGAGTACTCTCTAGTCCCCTACAACACCAGCACTGCTGTTTAAAAACTGTTAAAAATTTCACCTCTTCTCTCTTCGATCTTCGAGTTTAGACTTGTTCTTTACTCAACTTACCAAAAAAAGTGCACAATGTTTGCAATGCCAAGAATACATTCATGCTGATATACATCGAAGATAGGCGCGATTGCCAACAAGAAGGACAAATTCAAAATGCATGCTTGTTCTAAAATTTCGCAAATGTTTCAGATAAAATTTATTTTAGAGACGGGACAAAAGTACCAGAATGTAAAGGACAAGCAAGATGCAAATCAATTTCTGAATAAAGATGGCTGAAATAACATCACCAGACATCAGGACGCAGCTCACCACTTGCTGGGGGCACCCATCTCCCAGAATTATACACACTTTCACCAACTTTCCAACCAGGTACATCCTTCATAACTTCTGCCTCATACTCGAGATATTTATGCCACTCTCTAACAAATCTAGAAAAGAAAACAAACAATAATAGGATAGGATAAATGGTTAGCATGTATTTGCGATGATACAGAATTGATGAAAGCATCTTATATACCTCTCATCCTCTTCAGCCTGTAGCACCGGCAGAATGGATCGGCGGGCAGCATATTTTTCTTCCTTCAGTGCCCTATAGGAAATGAAACATGATAGATCAGTTTAGTTTTTGAGTGGGAACTGAAAACAAACCTAGGTGTCTCTGATTCTTCCTTGAAAAGCGATTTCTATTTTTCAATATAACATCCCACAATTCCCCAAAACCAATCATAAAGGAAGAATAAAGAACAGCGAAATAAGAGAGTCATAGTGAGAAGTAAATATCCAAGGATATGTACTAATCTCCATTCTTTTATAGACAAAATCTTCAGTGCTTTTGATGTTTTCAAATCAAAATTGGAGTGATAATAAGTGATAGCCCTCACAATAAAGTCAGCTTTCATTACCAAATAGAAACTGCAATTTCATAAGAAAATTAACACCAAAAGCACTAGAAGTGTTGCACCTATGTTTGGTCTTTTGTCTATATCTTTTTCCCACAAGCACACAAGAGGCAAACAATTTTCCGATAACAAATTAACTCACACAGGAAAATACAGGCAGCTTTGGTTCTACTTTCCAGAATTGATTCAAACTAGTTTCTAACAGAATTAAAACTAATAAGAGTATACAATATTTTTTTCTCGTCAAGTGGGCAGCACAACCCATCAAAATAACGAAAAAAGACTTCTCAATTTTCTGTACACAATGTTCTCACTTGAAAATTTTTCTTGGGAAAGTGTTTCCTGTAATTATTTAATTCAAGAAGCTAATTTCTACTGAACATTTTCCACTGTCAAATTATTTTCTGTAAAAATGGATCCTCGATTCTTTCCTACTAACTGGATTGAGTAGAGTGATTTTCCAATAGATGGCTTGCATATAAGCTATAAAATCAGGTTGTTAAGAGAATAGAAAGTGGAACAAGGAAACTACCAAATCACAGAGGAAGCAAACAAACCAAACATGTTTGGTTAGGGTTATTGGTTAACAGATTTTTCATTCAAATACATTAAAGAAATACACAACGTCAAGGAAAGATGCAGATTAACAACTCATCAGCACAATTAAACACACAAGTCACTGCAACCAAAAATCTCTCCCTTTATAATTCATAAATTAACAATTAGGAGCTAAAAAATGTTCAATCCCAAAATTAGGTGACAACACTTCAAATGCATTTTTTTTTCTTTTTCCGAAAAGAAGGGCTGGGTCAAACAATCCACAACCCAACCTAAACCCAAACAAAAGATAAAAAAACACTAGTTGCTCCTCATCCCATGAGGCCGCAGTTCCCTCCTTTGGTTTAGCTACCGCCATCAACTGCGACTACAGGTGCTGCCACCTATGCCCTGTTCCGTTCCTGCCTCCTTTTTTGGAATTATATGTGTTTTACACTCAAAATCATGACTCATCTTGTTCATGTACTTTATCTTATAAATGCAAAAAGAAAAACAACTATGGGCTATATCTATTAAGCAATGGAGAGGGCAAAAAACAATTATGAAGTCTTTCAATAACCATGAAAGTAAATACAAAATTGTATTTACAATCATTGATAATAGATGGACTTTCCAACTTCATTGCCCATTATGCGTAGTTGATCACTTTTTGAACCCAAAGTTCTTTAATTCCAACCAAAATTGAAATATGATTTGAAGGTTAAAAATGAGTTGTATGGTTACATCAAGAGGTTGTTGTCAGGTAAAGATGTGTTACATTTAACTGAGTTTCCCTTATACAAGAGTAGAAGTGGAATATTTGGTGATGATTTTGCCAAAGAATCAAAGAAGACCACAACTCTTAGTAAAACACTTGAACTCTTTCAAACTATTTTCTTCTCGATTTTATAGCTCAATGGTGGATAAAATTATGGTCACACAACTCCAAACTTGTAAAACCTAGCAGTCAAGATTTTAAGCTTGACATGTATCTCATCAAGATGCTATCACAACTAGAGTGTATTTAAGCAAATAATAATCGTTGTTCATGGGTCATTCATTAGTATCTTTTTCATAGAAAATAGAAAGAAACTAATTAACATATTAACATTGTACTTCTTTACGATGAAAATCCATTCAAAAAAGAGAAATAAGCTTGACCATAAAAAATTGAATGATTTGGTTTACATCACTTATGCTCAATCATACAATATTATAGATGAAATTAATCCTATTGCACTCAATGATATTGATAAGTGCACATGATAATGACAATGAAGGTGGGTGAATCAGTTGGTTTTTTATGATGATTTCACTCTTAATTGAACAACTATTTATGAAGCTTCGGGTGGACGACCAAGAATATATACAAGAACAAAAGCAAGCAATAAAAGAAAGCAACTATCAAGTGGTGATATTGTTACGGGATCTTCCCATGCTTATAGGAAAGGTCTAGGTGCAACTTCAGCCTCAATACGAAGGAGGGGCAAAGAGAAGATTCAATTTAGAGTTAAGGATGAAATGAAAATTGTTAGCTTTGACTTTTAGTCAAAAGGAACTAAATAATTACTTACCTTTGAAAAGCCTTTTCCTAAAGGGGAATAGGAAGAGGGATATGCCCAATTGGATAACATTGAAGATAATTATGTTGGGATTTAGAAAGAGCCAGATGATTGTAAATTTAGGACATTTGTCTTATGTTTTGTAATTATTTTATGTCTCGAACTTGATGGTGTTTTGTTTTTATTTTATTATTATTTGAATTTCTAGATTTATCTGTTATTGATAATTATTCGGCTGTCTTTCATTATTCTTCATTACAATTATATTTATGAATTTTTATTTATCTATACGTATATATTGTATTTTCTTATTGGTCCCGATATCCACCATAACATGAAATGTTTTCATAAAGGATATTGGATGTCATTATTTTCCATCATCCGATATTGATAAACACTGAACTCAAGACCTTCAATCCAAAAAATTGTCAACAACACTTCAAATATAATATTTAAAAATACACATTTCTAAACTAAATATGTTGTTAAGGACTTAAAGAATTTCAAATATAGGATGAAGGGAAAAGCAGAAAAAGTTAGCTAACACCACCACCACTGAATAGTGAATATATAACTTCTAATAGCACGATGTAGTGTTAGTGATACAAAAAGCACTAAAACTTAAAACACCTAGTAATTTAAACAATTACACAAGCCCAAGCCCACGAGTAATTAAATCCCAAAATATTGTCGACAACACTTCAAATATAAGATTTAAAAATATATATTTCTGTATCAATGAATGGTGAGAAAGAATCATGGACAAAGAAAAGAGAGAATAACAACCAGCTATAACTGAATACTTTAATTGTGAATATGTAATTGACAATACTATGTAAATTGTAAAGTTTTGTTTGGATAAGTTTAACTAAAGGGGAAATGAAATAAGTTTCTCTTGGATTGTCCAGAACTTAATGTAAACATTCTAGACAAGCTAAATTCAGAGAACTTCTACATAAACACCAATAGGAGAAGAAATATGAAAAAAAAAAAAAAAAAAAAAAACTAAATAAGTTTGATTACAAGTTAAAATTAATTTATTAATTTGTGCACAAACTAATCTGTAGAATTATCTCATGTTAGCTTCTCTAAGCGAAACTTTATTTTATTTTATTTTATTTTCCTTGCTTGTAATAGTTTATAGAGAAAGAGATCCAAAAATAACTTAATACTGACTCTACAATTAGGTCAAGTTGTGGCACAGATCCGAGCCTTTTATCAATGGGACAAACAACCCAAAAAATGAAATTGAAAAAATAATAAAACGAAATCAAAATGAAGAAACCTAAGATTGATTCCTCAATTACATTAGTAAACTGTTCAACACTTCAAAGACAAAAAGAGAGAGAGAGAGAGAAGAACCTTCGGATCTTGTTGCCCTGGCCGACCTGATACATGCCCCAAGAGAAAGCGCCAAAGGCAGTAAGGAAGATGGCGACGGCGCCGGGGCCCTTGTTGGGGATGCGGCGAGCGAACCGAACCGGAGCGAACCCTCCCGGCGGTGGGCCATCCTGGAGAACCGGCATGTCCTTCACGCTCGCCATCCCTGGCTTGTTCCTTATCGTAGCCTCCGTCATCTTTTTTCGATCTCTTCTCTTCCGCTCCTCGCTGTGTGGAACACAAAAAACACCTGTTCTTTTAGTTTTAAATAGATACTTATTTTCTTTATCTTTCTAATAAAATAACATTCATGTTTTTCTAGTTCTAAATAAACATTAACCATTTTTTTTTTAAAATATTATATTAATTAAAAATTAAATAAAAAAGATTATATATATATATATGACAGATAACATATTAAATATGATTATGAAATTGTAACCTCTCAACTAAGTTCATATCATTATCCATCAATCATTTCATAATTTTTTTATCAAAGAAATAATCATATGGAATCAAATAAACTCATGAACAAAGTCAACTTTAAAAAAAATATAAACATCATAAGAATTATACTATGAATAAATTATAAATTCTCATAAATATACAAATTTATCGTTTTAAAAAATATTATTTTAATATAAAAATAAAAAAAAACTATAAAATATGTAATTAAATTTATTATAACTTATTACTACATTTATATATGATTTCAATACAAATATAAATATAAATAATCCTTGCCGTAAGAGAAGTAAATATTTATTTTAAAACTAAAGAGAATGGATTTTCATTTAACTTGTTAGTAATTTTAATTTACATTATGAAATATTGATATCTTTATGATGAACACCAACGTCATATATATATATATATATATATATATATATATATATATATATATATATATATATATATATATATATTACTGTAATTTTATTTTTTTTCGATTTGTAATATATACATTTACTTCTTATATTTTTTGTAAGATATAAATGTATTTAAGATAATATAATATTAGACTACTACTAAAAAAATGGTGTACATATATATATCTTTACATATTATAATATATTGTATACTATGTAGTATATCATTAAATAAATTATATATAATTTTATGTAAATATTATAATATGGAAGATAAGATATATTATAAGATGATATTCTATTCCTATAAATCATTCAATTACAACATAATAAATCATTTCCAAAGGACCCTTAGTTAAGTTTGTTTTAATTATTTTATTTTATACTTCAAGTTATTTTCAAAAATTACATAAAACACTACCATTTATATTAATTTGAAGTTATGTTTTCCTTCCCTCTTATCTTAAACAACTTGACATGTAATTTATGATTCATAGTTCTTCAGTTAACATCAAAGTTACGATTATTTTAATAGTGATTATTTTCTCCCAGAAACATTTTTTTTTAATTTAAGGGTCACTTTATGCGATAAAATTTTCAGATATTCAATATTGTTGTATAGTTAAAACTTGAATTTAATAAAGTTTGAACAGTGAAAAGTATTCACACTATTTAAATCTTGATTTTATAACCTTACGTAAATTTAAATAAATAACATTATTAATGTAATATTTGGGAACAGGGACGGATTATATATATTACTTAATTTTGTTAAAATTATTATTAAGTATCTTAAAGTTTTGTATTTTACCCCTTAATTTTATATATTTAAATCTACTAACCACCATTTTATGATAGACTTATATATAATTAATAATTGATAATGTACAAATATATCACTTATAATTATCTCATTAATTTAGATCGTCAATAAAAATAACTATTAATTTGAGTGAGTTTGATAAAAAAAAAAAGAAATATACATAAATTGCATAACTTTTTTCCAATACATAAATTTAACATGATTTTCTATTTGATGTATGTATGTTATTAATTCAAAAAGTGTTCAATATATATATTTATTTAAAATTACATGTTGGTATAATACTAAAGTATATATAAATGAAAAGGAATGGATCACGAACTTTGTTACCATTTTTGGTATCATGATGGAACCACAATTATTCACTTCCACGTGTTATGCCTCCCATGTCCATGCATAAGACACCACGTCCTCTATGGGATCGTTTGGGACAAAAACTTTGTGTCTATTTCATTGAAGAAATATTGATTTTATTTTTTACAAAGGGTTAATTCAATAAATAAAAGGATGAATTATTCTCATACTCTCTTTATTTAAAAAAAAATCATTCAATAATCTTACTTTTTCTTCACTTATAATGATTCCTCTTAATTTATAAGTGAACATTATATCATGTATCTTTTCCATTAATATCTCCCTTAATTTATTTTTGAATAATGTATTTTCAAATTATATCACAAGATTATATTAATTATATTAAGTATATCCTTACTTTTCAACAAATATTTAATATATATATTGCGATATACAAACAAAATAAAAATTCACATAAATATTTTATAAAAAAATTATACTTCTTAATTGATTCATATAAAAGAAATTTTCGAATTTGAAGTTTCTGATAGTAGGATATACTGATGTAACCGACAAAATTCATAACATATACTATGCAAGGAATAATGTTGAATCACTTTGATGCCACAAAATTAACAAAAAATACAACAAATTGTTCCCACATTTTACTTGTTACAACTTGCAACGCAGTTTTAAAAAGCTAAAAAATCAGTAAGTTCGAATGTAAATATTCATATTCACTGAATATACTCTATCCTAAATATTTGTATGAACCCAGTGTTGTCCAAACTGCTACTCACTTTTTGAACCTGGAATCCATGGTAGAAGCTTACAAATTGATTCTTTTATCCAAATATATAGGCTAAGTTATGATCTTATGATTATTTTCATGACTTCAGTGTAAAATAAAAAATAGAGACTCCATCTCCAAGCATTGTTTGAAGTCATCTATGACACTGATTGAAGGCTTATAGTCTGTCTGAATCACTTGTCAGAAAGCATCTTCTCAATTTGACCATTTTGGTTGTACATTTCCACAATTTTCTTAGCATATGTAGGCATGTGCCTATCAGCCCTGCATGCATTTACAATTCAACAATATAAACAAACTTGATATCCTTAACATCAAAGTAAGGGCTTGGAATAAATTATACTAACTTAAAAGCAAGAAGGACAAAGAAAATTCTAAATAGTAAGTATTATTTGATGATACAATCTATGCAGGCTATGTCTATTCTATGCCAATTAAGAGAAAAGAGTCTAATATTATCTGTACAAATCAATTTTATTTAATCAAAATTAGGAAAGAAATCTGAAAAAATACAATCAAATCATTCTAATTTTTGTTAACTAGATTTCATAATACTAGTCCCTTGATGAAAACAAGTCAATCTAAGGTCCTGGTCGGAAAATCTTATCCAGAAGAACTTTAAAAAGAGAAAAAATATAAAGAAAAAATGAAATTGACTTATCCATAAGTTAAAATTAGCTTATGTACAAGTTAAAAATAAAAAACTAGGAAACTATATTAAGAGAACTTTTATACATTAACTAGTGCATAAGATAAATTTAATTTATAATGAAATCAATTTCACTTTTTTCTTAAAATTTTCATCTCCTAGACCATTATCTAATTTTTCCATGATGATATTTCCCTATCCGATGTTCCATCACATTCCATTGAGGTTGTGAGCAATGTTGATGGTGAACTTTCGATCGCATAAATATTATACTAAATCACATCAATTAAGTGGCTTTTTCGAGAAATAAAAAACATCTAAGTAAAACAATAAGTTATCCTCATTACTAGCTTGTTGAAGAGATAAAATACAATTCATATTTTTTTATCAGAGGTTGAATCAATAATCAGAAGAATTAGATTAAAAATTAAGATACATTATGGGAAAATAAAACCTTAATAAGAAAAATAAAAATTGTGAGTAGAGATTGGATTGATAAATAAAGATTCTTGGTTCAGTTTTCTAACTTAATTGATAAAAGGATTGATCAAATTCTGTTGAGTCTCACTCCCAATGTTTTCTTATCAAAGAATCACTCTTTTTATCAAATAAGTGAACAACCGGGAGCAATTTCCTTAGTTGACATTCATAAAAAGTATCAAATGATTTATGAATTCAATATATCTTGTTTACTAGAAAGACATATATTTCTTGTTAATTATCTAACAATTACTTTTTCATGAACCTTGTGGGAAGCTAAAAATTTTCATTTCCATCTCATGGAATTTTCATCCACAACTGAAATCCCAAACCATGGCATGAAGCTTTACCTCAGTCCTTGAGCTTGCAATTACATTTTGCTTCTTATTTGTGTCACTAATTTTTCACCTAAAAGCATGCCGTACACTAACAATAATCAACCATAAACAGTCTGCATTCGTATACATCACCCTAGACAATCTCTCCTCTTCCCTGAATAGAAACCCTTATCTTGGGCTGCCATCTGTTTCTCCCGTGGATCATGCATGTATTCACTAACCACACTAATTGCATAAGCAACATGTATGACCTGGGGTCGGTTAGATAAACAAGCTTATCCACAAGCCTCTAATATCTGTCCTTCTTCAGTCTTGGGCTCTCTTCATCAGTACCAATCCTATGATTCTATTCTATGGATACTATAGTGGTTTTGTAACTTAACTTTGTCTCCTTAAGTTGAAGGATACATTGCCTTCTATATAGAGAATCCTTGTTTGGAGTTGGCAATTTCAATTTGTTAGGAACCAGAGTCTCCACAAGTCAATCAAGCAGCAAAAATGTAACAAGAAATGTAGGGCAATGTTATTCATGAAATGATAGAAATTACAGAGGAAGAGTGTTGGAAGAGTGTCTTGGATGATGTTAAAGCAGTTAAAATAAGTAAATTGACATGAATATTTTATTATGTTGTTAGTTGATTAATCAGTTCTTGTTTGCAAAATAGTTTCTTATTTTGTTTCCTCATGTTTGGTTGTTCAGGCCACGAAGGTGGATAGTCTGACTTGTTTGTGCCTCTGTCACTACATCGGTCACCAATCCTTCAAATCTCTATTCCATTATTGCCTTCTCCTGGAGGGACTCCCCTTTCTGTTATTCTCTCCTCTCCATCACAACCTCTTCATCGAGAGACCCTCATTTCTCTCATACATCTAAAGTTCATTGATCGCCTTCAATCACTCTTCTGTGTACATTAGGATTTTAGTTCACTTGATTAGTTTCTTGTGGATGAAGATTGAACGAAGCTTGAGTCAGTTCAAATTTCCCTTCTATCTCCTTTTCCTCATATGACATTGGTATTCACTCCCTTTCCACAACTATACCCACACATAATGTGCGAGCATCAGATATGGCATGTGCACTCCTGGGTTAACAACGGCCAATTGACGTCTTGGTGGGTGAAACAATTCAAACAAGGTAGGGAATGATGGTGGAGGTGAAGAACTGATGGCAAGGCTGCTGGCAGGGTCCTAAGCACAGTGAAGGCACTAAATGAAGGAACAAGAGATCCAGCAGCAATGCAAGCTGCTCTAGTTGCAATGAAGGCAACCTAAGGTCGGTGCCATAATCAAAGTGAGGGGGTTAGCAGAAACAGAGTGTCCTAGACCAGGAACTCTAGTACCAACATAGTATAAGGAATTTTGGTACAATTTCTGGATATTATTTGATAACTTTGCAGTGCAAAAAGAATGTTATACATAGGCTACATCTATAACTATCCTAAGCTAATTAAGGAAATAAAATCTAACGGAATCTGCACAAATTATCAAATCTGTCCTAATTATAAGGTATTCGGATAGAAATCTGAACAATATAATCAAATCACACTAATTACTGGGAACAAAGAATCACACTAATTATGTTAATTAGGTCTCACAATACCCTACATACCTTTCCTTTCCCCACAAACGATTCACGTGAAGATAGTTGCGAATGGTATGATAATCCAGTGAATAACGTGCAAATTCAAGACCCTTTGGACCGATCTGAACATAGAGCCAAAAATATCATGTCTGCATGATATACATGTATAAATGGATAAACTGATATGAATCTTTTACCAAGTTTAGTATAAAAGCCAGCAGATTTCCAATAAATTTTGGGGCAGGTTGAGAAGGACCTCTTCCTGATCAAGAATTTCAAAGAAAGAAGTAATCAACTCTGAAATCATGTACGGTGGTACTGATAAAAACAAACATAGAAGAGAAACTCAAAGCCTAATAATAACTGTCATATTCTATTATGAATAGATGAATCCATAAAATCCAATTTTATCCAAAGCACTAAAAACATGAGATCTATTCCCAGAGCCAAGGCGAGAGATGGAAAACACTGTAAGATAAATACATTATATAATGAATGTTATATACCTAACTTAGCTTCATCATCAGCCTTAACAGTCTCCATCACAAATGGTCGCCTATTCCCCTGAATCAAACAGAAAAAAATCATGCTCTTCTTTATTTTAAACTAATAATAATATGCTTAAATGGAAAAGCCTTGATAATTTACAGCACTAATTGTTGGAGTAATCTCTAGTAAGTTCTCCACCAGACTCAACATCTCTCTTCCCCGTTCATTCCTGTTATATCAAGAGCAAAATATACAAGGCTCAACTCTTACCAAAAAGTAACCCTTCATGAAAGAGTATGCACAAACAGACACTAGCATCTTTTAGTCTGTGGTCTTACCTGACTGTAACATACTGTGGATGTTGTGGCATGCTGACTCCAGAATATTTTGGCACGCCCATATATCCAACCACCATGTCCTGAAAATTATTTTTTTTCTACTGTCTAATAAAAGTTTCTTTACATGAGAAAAGATGCACAAACAGTGTAAACATCAAGCAACACAAGACTAATAAGGACATGTCACTTGGCAATGTGGCAATGAACACCAGTTCATCATACTTCACTCAAGTACATACACATGCACTCACAGAAAATAGAAAGTAAGTAAACGGTAGCTGGTTGCTTGGAGTTTCTCGTTATATATTAACAAGATAAAATTGAGGGTGATCAAGCATGAAAAAATTGTTCTTACAAGAGGATAAAAATATGCATATATTTTTTAAAGAATGAAGAGAACTGAGCAAGTGAAAGTATAAGAGTAGTTACATTACATATATAATTCCTTAATACCAACTGAATAATTAACCAAGTTTATCATGTCTCATATATTGATAAGTTATCATGGCTTAATATTTATGGAATAATTAACCAAAATCAAGTTTGACATAATATTTACAATCAAGAAAAAAGTTGAAACATTTTAGCATCATGGGAAGTAATGAAATAGCATATGGTGAAAGAATTTGTGAACAGTTTCTACTTTGTAGACAACGTCACAAACAATTAGAAGCAATTAACACAATTGGCGTAAGTTCAAGTAAAATATGTCAAAAAGAGAAGATGGTCAAGCAGATAAGGACTTACAGCTAAAGCATTTGTATAGTCAAAACAGCTGCAGGGGAAAACAGGAAATTCTGACAACTTAGTGCGATATAAAATGAAAGAGCAAATAAACAGTAGAAGTAAAAACAAACTCGTGATCTTTATATATAAGTTTCAAGCCATCACATCATATTAGACAAAGTAAAACAACAATTACCTGTAACAAGATGGGGCGATGACATCAACCAAATCATTTGCTGGCAGACAGAAATAAGGAACCTGTAAAAGGGAAAATTTGAAAGTGAACAAAGTTGCATGCTTCTGAAACCCATTGACAAAGTAAAATAAAGGGCTATTTATACCTCTTCTATATGACCATCCAAATGCTTCAAGTGAACCTTCCAAAATGTTGAAAAACCGACTTAGTAAAATAAAATAAACTTGGTTATACAGAAAGATGTTACCATAAAGCAGTGTTCTAAATAAATCAATTGGTGATTCTACTATAATAAATTATCAATTTATTTTTCACTGCCCAACGAAAACATTTATTTTTCCATAACTGCTCTAAACCACACAGGATATTTCAGCTGAAAACCTTGTAATCTTGCATAAACTCATAATGTAGAACAGTTTCTGGTGATTCACTCGCAGCTTTTAGAAACTTATCCAGCCCTTCCCTGGTACCATTGTCCACTGTGTAAAGAGAATTTTAGTACAAGTCAATAATTTTCAAGGTAGAATTTACAAAACTAAACAGATCCATTAAGAAATTATTGATATCACATATTTATAAACATTCAACAAATGGTTTAAAGGCTTATAGTAAAACACTAGACCTTTTCCATACCACAATTTGTGCCTAAAACATAGAGCTTATCCAAATTCAAGTGATGCTCCACAGATCTTAATGCTGCAATCGAAGAAATTATTCTGCATTACAACATTACATGTCACGATGGAGAAAATGATGAAAATTTGCAAAAAATACATATTTATAGTAGTGATACCTTGCACCTGGCAACCTACACCACAGAAAAGAAGACGCTTGAGACCAGCAGCCTATCCACAATCAAAATTCAGAAAGTCAAACTATGAATATAAAAGGTGTCCTATGAAAATACATTCATTAAATCTTAACGACAGCTGAAATTAAGGAACCAAATAAGCTATATGCAAAAATATCATGGGCAGTTGTCAGGTTGTCTTCAATATGTATCACACTAAAAACTAAGATCTACGTTTCATTGAACTTTCTAAAAGTTAAAATTTCCTCTCATACATCTAAAACTCTTGAATCAAAAACTATTTTGCAGATCTCTATCTCATCTAAGAGACAGCAATATATGTCATCAGATACATCCAGTTCAAAGCAAAGAATAAATTTTTGAAGAACCAGATGCTTGTGGGCAATATGCCAAATGAACGAAACACGAAGAACGGTAAAATCATAAAGGATAAATTGAATTCTGAAAGACCAGTCTTGAAATTAAATCAAATGGTCTCAAAACAATAGAATGGATTCAATTCTCTCCAAAGCCAAGGTGCACAAAATGAGGACAGTATAGTGGAGGTAATATTTTTTTACCACAGCTCATACAGTATGCCAAAACAACTGAATCTCGCAGAGAAGATCCTTAATAACTTTCATCATTTGTATCTCTCAATATCTCTCATATTTTGAAGAATAAAGGTCAAAATGCCCCTGGTAATTCCCATATATTGTTTAACATGATTATATCAACGTATTTCAACCCCTAATACAGCATTCCTATTCATTTACTAGCCTTGATCAGTATGAATGACAAATTTTTCAGAAACTTTTTCAAATTATAGATAAGTTGATTTGCATAAATAATTTGGTATAATATGCAACTGAGGATTTTATACAAGATTTTTCCTACGTCATGACAAATTCTACAAATGAAAAGATATTTGCACACCTCAACAAGAGCTAGAGTATTGAGGTTAGGTGACAATGTTGGCTTGACACCTTTAGCAGCCAACACTTCTTCAGGTGTCCTACAAGAAATTTGAAGAAATAAACAGTGTATTTTAATAAGACAAATTTTAATGTAATGATGGGAAATTAACTTAAAACCTTTGACATTAAGAAAATGCAGACCTTGCTAAAACAGGTCTTGGAGCAAATCTGTCATTGGGATCACTACGATAAAGAAAGTTACATCAAAGGCATTAACAAAGCCAGTGTTGAGCAAAAAAAATTGGCATCTTATTTACCATCTAGAATTGCAAATATGTTCTATTACCTTTGTACACAAATGACAGCCTCCACCATGCCTGATTTAAGCATTTCTATAGCAATGGTTGTTACTATACCAGTCCATTGAGCTCCTACAAACGGAATGAATTTGATATGTAAAACTAGTCCAGAAACCTAGTCTAAATCACTTGGAAATAAACGGAACTTTGTTTAATTTGAAAATGCCAAATAAGAAAAAGTTTTTATATATGTCCATGTCAATATGTTAAACAGTATTCTTTTCATCTTTTTGAAACCAAAAAAAATCTGTTAATTCCCCAATAGATGTTTAAACAATCATGAAAAACTTCTCCTTTTATTCCTCGGACTTCACCATGAAACTGAAAGCAAAAATAAATAAATAAATAAAAAAGGAAATAATACTGTAAACTCACAATTATCTCAATGTGGAAACCTAGTCAAGTAGATCAACTTATTATTAATAATTGAGAACCTTGTACGAACAATTAACTATTATCTATTGACTGCCAAAATTATGCAAATAAGGTGGTTTACAATCAGTAAAGAAAACAGGACAAATAAGGCAGATGTCCTTTTACAAAATATAAATAATAAACATCCTCATGAGTCATGACATCTTGGTTTTCCATAGCAGCATAAAATATAAAATCAGCATTCATCAAATTGGTCTCCAAATTATGCAATAATTTAGACCCTTCATTTAATTTACATTACGATTCAGTTCTTAAATTAGTCAAATTGGTTTCACATGACTTTATTTACTATTTCTGAAAAGATCAATGACATAATGAATTTGAGTAATTAAAGGACTAAATGTATGCTTAATTTAATCAGTATTTTACAAGTAAAGAAAACCTTTAATTCCAAATAAATTGTTGTCCTGCGTCTGAAACCTATATTGATAAAAAAAAAAAAAAAATCAACATATGAGAAAATTCCTTTTATTTGTGTTCCTAGTATAATTCTCATCATATTCCTTACACCTAAAAGTTACCATGAAAGAATACATCAAATGCGACAATGAATGGAAATCATTAGATCTTAACCTGTAAAGGCTTGATATTAAAAAGGTAATCCATCAAGTTGAGGAACCCAAACTGAAATCCATGCAAACTACAAGCGACAAAAAATCTTATATAAAATTACTAAACAACTTCAAAGTTGCTTACCAATTTAGGACTAGCCCCCAAAACCACATATTAAAAATTCAATTATTTTTAACGCATCTTAAAATATGAAAAATGAATCAGAGGCCCCTCTCAAAATGTAACGACTGCTTCAACTCTGAGAATGAGATAATTTAATGCACAAGAAATACACTGCACTAGAGGACCATCAAAACTGATACAGCACAAAACTCAGAAGAGAGCACAGGTAAAAAGACATACAAACATGAGAAAGAATCTTATGCTTTCAACTCAGAAAAAATACCTTCAACAGGGAGAAGTTTCCGAGCATATAAAAGTTCCTCATATACCCCTAAGTAGGTCTCATCCAAGTTATCAGTTTTCCTTCCTCTACCATGAACAACAGGTTCCAGTCTCTGAAAGGGGAAACAATTGGGAGCACAGAAGCAACTTTATTTAGGAAAAAGATTTTTTTCCAAGACTAAAATTCTGGATTTAGTTATATCAGCCCAAAATTTCCAATCAGAAGCAAAGCATGCCAATAAAAGTACTTAGGTAACATTCAAATTAGGCACACATAATTTGAAGTTCAATCATCTAGCCAAAATACTATTTTACTGATTACAATCACCCACTAAAGCCAAAATGACGAAACAAATAACTATTGCATATTAAAATTCCAATTTGACATGTGGCCTTTTTAGAAAAGCATGTTCATAAGCTCCTACTAGGATAGAAAAATAAGAGAAAAATTGAAATTAGCTTCTCCATAAGTTAAAATTAACTTATGCAGAAATTAGTTTATAAAATCTCTCTCGTATACCTTCTCTAAATATTTATTTTTAACTTGTGCTTAAACTAACTTACCTTATAGATAAGATTTTTTTTTCTTTCTCTTAGAAAGATCATTCAAACAAAGTGACATGGAAAACTTCATTAGTGGCATCATCACTTGAAACACTTTATAAATCTTATATTCAAAAGGGTGCCACCTAGCTTATGCATTGCAGATGCATAAGCAATAGAGGAAAGAAAGAGACTTACTTCAATCCTAGACATTCCATCTCCCAAGAAAGCACATGCATTCTTGACATGGGCAATGTAATATGTATCACACAGCCCACAACGACTGTCCCAAAAGAAAAATAACAAAACCAAACCATGAGAACTAATAACATGGAAAATTATGTAGCAACTAGAATAAGTACCCAAAATAAATAAATAAATAAAACCTGAATGGTTATGCATCTCAATGTTTCAGAAATCCTAGTTAATATGACTTTTCAGATAATTATTGCAAAAGTCAATTAAAAATTTATCATTATACAAACTGATTGGTTATTAAATTAATGTGCAACTTCTTTACTCTTTCAAATACATAGCCTATTTTCTTCTGAATAAAATGGGGTAACTAACACATACAAAAAAAAAAAAAAAAACACAAAGTATATAATTATACACCTGCAATGATCCTTTGCTGGGTAGGTGCCACCTGGAGGGATAGGTTTGGACTTCTTCCTCCAGTCCTTTTTCAAAGAAGTATCTGTATCTGCTTCTCAGAATGGAAAATAAGGAAAGGAAAGATGGGTGAGAAGAAAAACAAAGTATATGTACATGCAGAGCAAGAGAAATTGAAGGATATTTACGGAAGGTGGTACCTTTGGATGAAGAAGAACGAATGGTGAGGGAAATTGGTAAAGAGGAGAGGTTGGCACAGAGAGATAAGGAAGACATAGTTGAGTTGAAGCAGGAGAAGTGAGATTTGGCGAGTGACGCAAGTGAGTTGGATTGTGCATTGGTGTAGCTTCCGCTCCACTACTTCAGAATGATGTGGCCCCAACATGCCACGTACTGGCAAATATCTAATCATTTCTCCTACATTTTATTTTATTTTCAGCCTAATTATAATTATATAGCTTTTTGGTAAAAATAATAAAAAATTTAAATACTTTTTTTTCTATTTTAAGAGATTGTAGTTTGAGTTATAAAAAAAACAATGAATAATATTTATTCTAATAATTTTATTCAAGATTTTACTTTTCTGTAATAAATTAAATTTTTATTAAATCGGCGCTATAAAAATATTTAGATACAAATGTTTGTGTCCGATAGTTTTACATTACGACGGATATGGCAAACATTAATGTTTACGTAAAGATTTATTCAGATGACTTACTTTGAAAATAGGAATTTTTTTTTCATTTTTTAAGTATATAATACTCTTTTAATATATTTCATTTTGGCTAGATTACAATTTGGATCTTGGTTAAATTGTATTTGTGATTTTGGTCTCTTGGTTAAAAAGATGAAATTCTAGTCTAATTTTTAATTTCAAATATATTTTATTTTAGTTTTAAGTTACTATTAATAAATAATTTAACGGACTAAAATGTAAAAAAAAAAATGAAATAAAGAAAATTACACCAAAATGGTAAATTTTTTTATACATAACAAAGGCGTAGGAAAGAAAGTTATAAGGAGGATAAAACACACCATTGATTGCCCTCTCTGTATAAGCATGTTGAAAAGAAAGTTGTGAAGGGTTGTTTCAGAGAGACTGAATGAGGTTGAACACAGGATGAAGACATTTGAGAATAGCATGAAGTTCAGCATGGACATGGGTTTAATGCCATCAACATTTACCTTCACCAAATTTGCATTCTCTTACCCTGCATGTTATCATTTCTAATCCTTAGTATCCCTATGTTAGTAGTGTTGTGGAAAAACTCAATAATGTAGGATATAAATTATTTGTTTTTTTTTGAAAAGTTTTAGTTTTGCATTTAAGATAGAACCTTTTTGAAATAAATTCCAAATTTATTTACCAAATTCATATCGTAATGACAATTTTTTTTTTGTAATATTTCGAAATGAGCAATTTAAAATATTAACAATTAATTTTCTATTTTACATTCTAAAATGAGGAAAAATTCATGTTTCGGGAATAAAAATTCAGAATGTCTGAATATGTAATATGAAACCTTTTCATATGTATGTATAAGAATTTTAAAAACGTTTTCATCATTCCATTATTGGAGAGTTATATATAGAAATTATGGAGGTGAAAAAACATTTATCTTTCGAGAATTACAAAAACTTTTGAATCCAACACATTAATCGTATGCTTGAATATCTATAAAGGAATTTTAGGTTTGCCTGATTCGTTGTGCGTTTTTACATAATTAATGACAGTGGCGGATCTTGACCATTGATTCTGAGTACTAAATAATATATTATTAATAAATATAAAATGAAGAAAGAAGATAAAAAAGTAAAAGGATAAAATTGTAAATATATACTTAAATATATTAAATGATCATTAAATTAGAGAGAATAAATCATAAATTATATGAGAATTACAAAACTGAAAAGAGGCTAAAAGGATAAAATTGTAAATATACAAGTAAATATATTAAATGTTAATTAAGTTTTGAGGACCAAAATCATAAATAGGAATTACAAAACTTTAAGAGGATCAAGGTCCCTCTCAACTCCCAATAAAATCCGCCATTGATTAATCGGACATTCAAAATGTTTAGTACCATTCTCTGGGATACTCTTTACTAACATTTCATTAAAATCTATTGAAAATCAGTAAATATAATTAGTCTCACTTTTTACACCAAAATGTAATATGAAACAAAAAAATGCACTAAAACTTTGGAGATTTTCTACTATTTCACTCGATCGGCTAAGAAAATGAACGACATTAATCATTACAGAGGAACTTTAAGATCGGCCTAACTGTCAACTGAATTAGGTCAAGTTTTTAATTTCAATTCTAGAGTTGTGACACGCCGAATGTCGCACAACAAAAACGTGTGAAATTCTTCCCATTCAAACAACTAGTAAATATGCTGTTTTAACTGTATATACTAAAGAAATATAATGTCCATAAGTGATGTGAAGCAGTGAAAAATACAGCCTCCAATTATGTGTGTCAATATAATCAAAATCATCTTCTGTTTGCACTTCTATCTAGGATATACATTCAACAAATGTTCTCACATCTCATACTTTTCTATAACAACTGATCTGTCTCTCTCGCTATGCTTCTTGGTACAGTCTCTTTCATATCCAACTATTATACCCACAAAATTTGGAATTCAATCAACGAGATAAAACCGCTCAACAGATTTTATTGCCATCTTCCAAAATAATTGCAGCCGGATTCACCACCGATCAATAAGCAGCAGCTCAGAAGAGAAAGTAATTTCTATTCAATAATTTGTTGTATAATTCACTCAAAATTTACAGATCACGACCTCCACTCTGTTGAGGAGGTTACAAGAACAAAAAGCAAACAGGGTAGACTTCTGCCGACATGTTACTTATGGATCTGGGGTTAAAATGTGCCGATTCTTTTACCTTGGTGGTAACCGGGAAACAGCTTCACGATCCATCCTAACAGTTGATTAAGAATTTGGTAACAGCAAATACGAGTCCAATGTAAATCCAATCAAAGAAGTTTGCTGGTTCTCCGTCTTGAAGGTCCACCAGGAAAGAGCTTCATAAGCCATCCCAACACCCTTTCCACAACCTAGGTACAAGAAGAAAAATAGATATCAATTCCTTTTTTTTTTAAGTTTTCTAATCTTTATAATCTACACTAATTATTATGTTTTCAGCAACACCAACTACTTCCACCAAACAATATAGCCCAGGTATCTAATGTTCATCTAGATACTTGCACTACTCACAAGTAGTGACGCTTTCCATTACAAAATAGTAGGCTGAGATTCATCATCAGGACTTCAAAATAAGCATGAGGATGTATAAATTGTGTGCAATAGACAACAATAAGTTCACATAATAAAACATAAGTAAAATGAACATAGGTTACCTCGTCACCCTCATCTGCATATTGGGTGTTCTCATACATGGCGCGGGAATCTGGTTGCTTTGTAGAAATATTTTCATTGACCATGCTTTGAGCAGTCAAAAGCTCTAATCTTTGTGTCTGGATCTCAAGTTTTCGGGACAACTCCTTGTTTATTTCCTATCATCAGGAAAATAAACAGCATATATTACAAGGTTAGACCAAGATACAACCAAACAGCCACACCAGAATGTCACAAACCAAAGCAAGAAAAATTTCTAAAAATTAACTGAATTTTGAGAGGAAGTTCCCACATTTTTATTAATGCTGCAAATATATGCCTAAATAGTAAATATCTGTAATTTGAATTCAAATAATTTAGTTTTCAGGAATTTTTTTATATTTCGAATTCTTAGGATATTGTTTAGATAAAGATAAAAAAATATAAATTAAAAATTAAGATTTGTTCATTCATCTTATCAAGACAAAGTTGTTAGTCTTTACAATTTTCATATGATATCCTAACCAAAAAATAGTAAGAAGCACTATTTCACAATATAAGAACTTTGTCTTTTTACAATAAGAAAGTTCCAAAATAAGATGAATCAAATCTATTAAAGACAGTGGCCTCCATGATCATCATCATTGAAAAATACACTCTCTAGCTCCGGTTCATCAAGTGATTAACCGGATGTTTTCCTTTTTTTGAGATCAACACCATCATTGTTGTCCTTAGATGATTCATTATAAACCGGAGGCAAAGGGACAAATTTTGCCTTAGACCTTTCTATCTTCAATGTAGCTTACTAGCTTAGTTAGTTCACCAAGCTTCAAGGGTGTTTATTTTTTGACAACCTCTAACTCCCTTTCCCGTAATCTTCAACAAACGTGCTCTCACTCTAGTATAAGATCCATTGAATGTAAGGTCACAAATATTGCATTTTACTTCATAATTTCCACACCTTCACCAACACTTTTTATCTTTGTAACATAATTCTATAGGGGTTTGATATCATCATCTTGTAAAGGTTGGCTAGAATTACTCATTTCTAGAAACCAATAACATATGATTTTTCTATGTTCATAATTCCATAACTATCGCATTCTAATAAAAAAATGAACATTATAAAGGAAAACAGAGCAAAACGAAGACCTAAAAAGTGGACAGCAAAACAGAACATGACGCAGTGAAATACCTTATCAACAATGAAGACCTGAACAGTAGAATAAACAACAATGAAGACTTGAACGGCAGAGAGCAAAACAGAGCAAAATGAACAGCAAAGCTTCAATGAACAGCGGAAGAAAACAAAACACGACGCAACGGAAGAAAACAAAGCACGGCGCAACGGAAGAAAACAGACCAGTAGACCACGAAGCAGCAGACAAAAATAGAGCTCGACGCAACAGAAGAAAATAGAGCACGATACAACGGAAGAAAACACAGCAGGACGCAGATGAAGAAAACAGAGTACAATGCAATAGAAGAAAACGCAAAGAAAACACAGCAGCACGCAGCAGAAGAAAGTATAATATTTAAAAATACACATTTCTAAACTAAATATGTTGTTAAGGACTAAAAGAATTTCAAATATAGGATGACGGGAAAAGCAGAAAAGGTTAGCTAACACCACCACCACTGAATAGTGAATATATAACTTCTAATAGCACGATGTAGTGTTAGTGATACAAAAAGAAATAAAACTTAAAACACCTAGTAATTTAAACAATTACACAGGCCCAAGCCTACGAGTAATTAAATCCCAAAATATTGTCGACAACACTTCAAATATAAGATTTAAAAATATATATTTCTGTATCAATGAATGGTGATAAAGAATCATGGACAAAGAAAAGAGAGAATAACAACCAGCTATAACTGAATACTTTAATTGTGAATATGTAATTGGCAATACTATGTAAATTGTAAAGTTTTGTTTGGATAAGTTTAACCTAAGGGGAAATGAAATAAGTTTCCCATTGGATTGTCCAGAACTTAATGTAAACACTCTAGACAAGCTAAATTGAGAGAACTTCTACATAAACACCAATAGGAGAAGAAATATGAAAAAAAAGAAAAAAAAATTAAATAAGTTTGATTACAAGTTAAAATTAATTTATTAATTTGTGCACAAACTAATTTGTAGAATTATCTCATGTTAGCTTCTCTGAGCGAAACTTTATTTTATTTTATCTTATTTTCCTTGCTTATAATAATAGTTTATAGAGAAAGTGATCCAAAGGACTTAATATTGACTCTACAGTTAGGTCATGTTGTGGCACAGGTCCAAGCCTTCTATCAATGGAACAAACAATCGAAAAAATGAAATTGAAAAAATAATAAAACGAAATCAAAATGAAGAAACCTAAGATTGATTCCTTAATTACATTAGTAAACTGTTCAACACAAAATGGAATTCACTCCTTGTACAATACAGAATGTAAAAACTTCAATTGCTAGTACGATCCTGAACAAAGACAAATAAAAAAAAAAAAAGGAGAGAAGAGAAGAACCTTCGGATCTTGTTGCGCTGGCCGACCTGATACATGCCCCAAGAGAAAGCGCCGAAGGCAATAAGGAAGATGGCGACGGCAATGGGCCCTTGTTGGGGATGCGGCGAGCGAACCGAACCGGAGCGAACCAGCCCGGCGGTGGGCCATCCTGGAGAACCGGCATGTCCTTCACGCTCGCCATCCCTGGCTTGTTCCTTATCGTCGCCTCCGTCATCTCTTTCCGATCTCTTCTCCGCTCCTCACTGTGTGGAACACAAAAAACAAAAATAACAATCGACAATGGATTTCACGCACGCACTCGCGCTGTATCTCTTCTCTGCGTGAGTGTGTAAAGACAAAAAGCGAAGGGGTTTCGGGTTCGGATTCAAATTCGGGTCGGGGTTCCATGTTCATGCATAGCACTAATATAACCCGTTTCTGTTGGGCCGTATTCCATTCCACAATCTTTAGTGCTATTATATATATATATATATATATATATATATATATTAAACAAAAATTTCTTTGATATCTCTAAAATCTTATATCAACTTTAAAGTCTCCAAGATGTTTAGGACATCAAACTTGAATTTTGATGTATGTTTTATTTTATGATGGTTTTATTATTATTATTATTATTATTATTATTATTATTATTATTATAATAATAATAATAAGTTACACACTACTCATGAAAAAAAATAAAGTTTTTTTTATAAGATTTTTGAAGATAATGGAACTTAATATAATTATATAAAAAAACTTAAAAGTGTTCATTGTGTAATAAAATTCTAACACTTAGCTAAAAGGTAAAAGCCTAAACTTAATTTATTCGATAGTTTACTGATAACTTTTAAAATTTATATAATCTTTATGTTTTAATCTTTACATGTTGTTACATGTTTTATTATTTACAAATTTGAAAAGTAAAAACTAAAACAATTTAAATAAATATGTGGAAGGATTAAATTAAATGATTTTGAAGCGTAGAAATTAAAATTACTAATTCATTTCATTTTAAAAGGAGTGATTTTGAACTTCAATTTGTAATTTTGTGACTGTGAACGTGGTGAGGGGTTGTTGGGTGGGTTTTTCTAAACCCTAGACTAGAGGAAGCCGCTTATTCGAGACCCTTCTCTTTCCTTTCATAAACCCCACGCATACTCTCTTTCTTCTGTCACATTGCTTTTGCATTTTCATTGGGTGCTCTATTGCTGCATTTTCTTTACCTTCTCTCTTCATTTCATATTTGCATCATGTATCGCTTTGCTTCTAGCCTCGCCTCCAAAGCAAGGTCACCCTCCTATCCACTCTTGCTTTTGTTTGTTCACTTTTATTCCTGTGTTGTGCGGAAGTCAAATTGTTCATCTGTGTCGTAGAGAAAATATTGCAAAATGGATCAAAATTTGATTTTTTAAGCATTACCTTAGTGGGTATTGTGGGCTTGATTCTTACATGTTGGGGGCTAAGTTGTGGATTTGGAGCATAACACCTCATTGGGATTAATGGAGTTTTTGTTTTGACTTTGATTTGATGTTTCTTTGGTTTCAGGATTGCTAGGAGTGGCAGCAAACAGGTGGAATTCTAAGGCTTTAAATGACATTCTTTTTTTCTTTTTTTTTTTTTTAACGTTGGCATATGAAAATGATAATTTTTTTTCTGGAGGTCAGTGAGGTTTAATCCTTAGTGTATTTTTTTTTGTCTGTTTTCTTTGCTGCATTGTTTAGGTTGGAAGTAGGCTGAGCTGGAACCGAAATTATGCGGCTAAAGACATTAAATTTGGTGTGGAGGCTCGTGCTCTGATGCTTAAGGGTGTTGAAGAGCTTGCTGATGCTGTCAAAGTAACCATGGGTCCCAAGGTAACTAAGTGGATTGTTTGTTTGCTTCTTGTATTTGTTATTTTTTTAAATTCATTGTCGGTGTTAGATGGGGAGAGTTATTGTTTGTGAAGGAGGTGGATTAAGAGATAAGTGTAGAAGGAATTCCACTTGTGTTTGATTATGTTTGCCGATTTCATGTCTATACACTCATTTTTTGCTTTCATGAAGGACAAAACAACTATTTTACCAAATAATGAATGATATTAATGCTGGTCTGTTTTGAGGTATTGTCATTGCTCAATAGTTGGTTGATATTGAGTTTATTCTCTTTAAGGGGCGTAATGTCGTGATTGAGCAAAGTTTTGGTGGCCCTAAAGTAACCAAAGATGGAGTAACTGTTGCAAAGAGCATTGAGTTCAAGGATAAAGTTAAGAATGTTGGTGCCAGTCTCGTAAAGCAGGTTGCCAATGCTACTAATGATGTGGCTGGTGATGGTAAGCTGATATATCCAACATCTTAACATGATGTAGATTCTAGCAGGCTGTACACTGAATTTAGCATGATGTATTATGTAGTAATTTAGATGTTGTTACCATGACTGAATAATGAGGGAGCATTTCAATTGTTTTGCAGGAACCACATGTGCCACAGTCCTTACACGAGCCATATTTACTGAAGGCTGCAAATCAGTTGCAGCTGGAATGAATGCAATGGACCTGAGGCGTGGTATAAGTATGGCTGTTGATGCTGTTGTAACAAATTTGAAAAGCAGAGCCCGGATGATCAGCACATCTGAAGAAATAGCACAGGTTTGTGGATCAATTTTGTTAGAGCCTCTCCTTGCATATTGCGGGAGATGATAATAAGGACTATGACTTTTGACATAGGTGTTTGTTTTTTAATTTGAATTGATAGGTTGGGACAATATCTGCTAATGGAGAGCGAGAAATTGGTGAGCTGATTGCAAAAGCCATGGAGAAAGTTGGCAAAGAGGGAGTTATCACAATTTCAGTAAGTTTTTATCTGATCATGCTATTGATTAGTGTTTTATATGCTGTTTTACTTGTAGAAGATTTTTTATTTTATTTTTATTTTTAGTTGTTTTGCTTTTCTTTGTGGAGATGAGTGAGGGTTGTTTAATTGATATGTTAACCCTTGTATGTTCGTAGCTTATGAGCCTTGATCATTGAACTATTTCAGGATGGCAAAACTTTATATAATGAGTTGGAAGTTGTTGAAGGAATGAAGCTTGACAGGGGCTACATTTCTCCTTATTTCATAACAAATGATAAGAACCAGAAATGTGTATGTTCTTTCATTACTTCTGTACTTCACAACATTAGGCTATTTATAGAAGCACGTCCATGAAATTCCTTACGCATGGATCTTTGTTTTATATATACTTCACCATGTATGTCTTGTGCCCATAGGAACTCGAGGATCCCCTCATTCTAATCCATGAGAAGAAAATCTCAAGTATAAATGCTATAGTTAAAGTATTGGAGTTAGCTTTGAAGGTGAGAAATGTCATTCAATTTCTTTAGCATTGGACTTCTAAAATATTGATATTGGCTGACTGACACTTACTCTTATTTCCAGAAACATAGACCTTTATTGATTGTTGCCGAGGATGTTGAAAGTGATGCACTTGCAACTCTTATTCTAAATAAGCTTCGTGCTGGAATTAAGGTTTGTTTTGCCTGCCTGTCTGTAGGTTTGGATTTTAGGTCATAGGTTCCTAAATATTTGGATTATTAGTTTGTGGAGTTGACGTTATATGAGAAACTTTGCTGTAGGTATGTGCTATTAAAGCCCCTGGCTTTGGTGAGAATAGGAAGGCTGGTCTTCAAGATCTTGCAGTTCTCACAGGAGGAGCAGTAAGTTTGCTGTTTGAGGTTACTGCTGCATTAAATCTTATTTTGTGAACTTAATAATGATACCTTTTCTGTATCCCAATAGCTTATAACTGAAGAACTTGGCTTGAAGCTTGAAAAAGTGGATTTGGATATGCTTGGCACTTGCAAAAAAGTAAGAATTTAGCTTTATTTATAAGACATTTGACTCCACTATAGAACTTTAGTATCTTTTCCTTGTTAACGTTGTTTAGTGGTTCTGGTAGAGGATGTTAAATTTCCTGGTCCAATGCTTTGAGTTCTCTGTTATCCTTTTTGTGCATAGGGTTAACGTGGACAACTCACTTATGTCCTTAATGTTGCAGATAACAATTTCCAAGGATGACACTGTCATTCTTGATGGAGCTGGTGACAAGAAAGCAATTGAGGAAAGATGCGAGCAGGTTTGACTGAGTTTATCTATAGATTTGGTTTTCCCATGATACATGTATTCTATTTGCAGCCAACATGTTAGGTTAATGACATATCTGACTTGTTTGTGTTTGTGATGAATTTCGATAAACATCAGCAATTGAAAATAGCACCTCAGATTATGACAAGGAAAAGTTACAGGAAAGATTAGCCAAGCTTTCTGGTGGTGTTGCAGTGCTTAAGGTATGTCTATATATGGTCATCTTGGTTTTTAATGGTTTGTCCCAGGTGAAAATTCCACTGAGGTTCTACATTGACAAAAGTAACATTTGAAAAATACCTCTACAGATTGGAGGAGCCAGTGAAGCTGAAGTTGGTGAGAAGAAGGATAGAGTGACAGATGCCTTGAATGCAACTAAGGCCGCAGTAGAGGAGGGCATAGTACCTGGTAAAATATCAAGGCTAACCAGTTTATTAGTTTCACAATCATGAATCAGATCTGACCTCAATTTGTTCTGGCATTGCAGGTGGTGGTGTTGCTCTTCTCTATGCATCAAAAGAGTTGGATAAACTTCAAACTGCTAACTTTGATCAGAAGATTGGTGTCCAGATTATCCAAAACGCTTTAAAGGTCAGTGTTATCTGAAACTTTTCTGATATGCTCTTCCTCTATATTACATTTTTATTCTGACAAGCTAGGAAATATTTTTTTTCTCACCCTAATGTTCATTCTACAATATGGACTGGATATTCCTAAGATCTATATAGTACTCTTCAAGACTTTTAACTGAAATTGCTAATTTGGGTTGTCATTCTATTATTACTTGTCCCCGAACCACAAATATAATGCAGACCCCTGTGCTCACTATTGCATCAAATGCGGGAGTTGAGGGTGCGGTTGTTGTTGGCAAACTATTGGAACAGGATGATCATGACCTAGGATATGATGCTGCCAAAGGTAAGTGTTCGTCTTTCCTTTCATTTTCCTGGTTGTTTTTCACTCCACTTCAGAAGCGGTACTAATTTTACTGATATATTTATATTTTGTTTTTCTGTTCCATTATTAGGTGAATATGTGGATATGGTTAAATGTGGAATCATCGACCCATTGAAGGTGATTAGGACAGCCTTGGTTGATGCAGCCAGGTAGAATGTTCTGAAATTTTATGTAGATATTCATGCAATTTAACTATTTGTTTATTACGTACTTGCTTATAACCGAGCCTTCTAGATATAGATACATTTCTACTTTGGTCTTTAATCAAGTCGAATGATGTCATGTGATCTATAGGCTCACCTGTGGTACAAGGTTTCTTTTTGTTATTGTGTAGATAGCTTAATGCTTGTGACCTTTCTTCTGCAGTGTATCATCTTTGATGACAACAACTGAAGCTGTCGTGTCTGAACTTCCAAAGGATGATAAAGATACTCCAGCTATGGCTGGTGGAATGGGTGGCATGGATTATTAACCTTCCATTGACATGATTGCATGAAGATAAGGATTGGTCCTGAACCCACACTCACAACCCTTTTTTTTTTGTTAAATTATTCATGTGAAGGCATCACTGTAATCATAGTGAGAGATCAAATTGTAGGTATGAAAATTTGACTGCAATAATTCCAATTATAAGAGATTTTGAACAATTTTTACCTCCCAAATCAAGGTGCTGTTCTCCGAAAAATTGTTCGTTATGGTATTCTTGATATGATATATCATTTAATTGAACTAATTATAATTTGCAGCATTTAAACGTTACAAGTACCTATAAGTTATTTATTCACAAATATGTCAACATTTGACGTAAATATATCTCAATGAATCACAGTTCACATGGCCCTCCATCACACATCACAGAACAAGGATACCTTATTAGTTTCAAAGATCTATCTTCTGATGATCAAGGCCCGTTATTCACGTTTAGTTTGGATTTTATAGTTAGTGCTGAACCATCATGCATTACAGAACATGGTAATAGCTTTGAAATGTGTGGAAAATCAATACTTCATAAACAAACATAGCCACTATATGTTGTTGTCGTCCTCGGAAATTAGCATTTTCAAAATTTCCCAAATAACAGCTACAAAAGCACAGTTTTTAGGCCCTGGCACGTTAATATAAACAACTCCCTTCTAGAGATATAAAGATTTACACATTCAATCATTTTAAAAATTATTCCTATTCTTCATTCTGCCTCATTTGCCTCTACGCCGATTTTTTGTTGCCGCGCAGTTTGAACAGTACCATTTTCCTTTTGGTTGTTCTTTCAGACCAACACAACCAAAATGAAACCACTCTATTTTGCACTGTCAATTAATATAATAGATCAAGGAAATATGTAAGCAATGTAAGTAAACTGGACATAATATATATAGATATATATACGTCTAGGGTGGAAAATAGGACATACGTTGGGGTTATCACATGCAACCATCGCTCCAAAGCTAACTTGATTACAAAAGCAGTATGTGGGTTCATTTGGATCGACAGGTAAATCTAAATCCATGCCAGTTGGCTTTGTTGAGGTTTGTGCTTCTGTTGCTGCTGCTGTGACCAATGTGGTATGGCGTGTCCTGGAGAGTTAAATTCAAAATATGCGTCAGATTGTAATATTTTTGATAGCTCTTGCTTTCAAATGTTTAATATTTTAGCATAAATGTATTAATAATGGAAAACAGGAGAAGAAAACAGAAAATTAAAATTATAAATAAATACCATTCCTTGCTTCATGAACTTATATATTAAATGCTTCAATGATAATGCTGTTTTAAGAGATATAATGAAATCTGTTGCTGTTATGAAGGTTATGGTAAATACTTTTTGGAAATAAATTTGGCTTCCAAATTTTCCACTTCCAGGGTTTTGTATTAGAATAAGTAGTACTTGAGGAACTAGGACTTTCATATACTTAAAGAGAATTATGATCAATTAAAGTTTAACTATTGGGGTAGTTTGAGGGAGGATTGCCTAGAGATAGACAACATCAATAAAACATGAATTCAACTCTCATAAGATATTGACACCACCTTCAATCTAAAACCTTAAATCATTAGGTTATGGATCTTTCTTTCTTATATATTACTCAATTTTTTCATTCTTATTTAATGTGGGACTTAGACTCACTTGGATTACTCAACAATCTTCTTCTCAAGTGTGAGTCTCATCACGTTAGTACATCTCCTCAAGCTTATTAATGACCTTTACTAAAGACACGCTTAAGTTATGGGTCTTTCTTTCTTATATATTGTTCAATTTTTTCATTCTTAATTAATGTGAGTCTTAAACTCACTTGGATTACTCAATAATTTCCTTATCAAGTGTTAGTCTCATCACGTTGGTACATCTCCTCAAGCTTATTAGTGACCTTTAGTAGAGACATGCTTGCCTGATCTATCGTTAGGAAGACTTTAACAACCGATCACCACAGAAACCATGGGCTCTGATACCCTTGTTGGGATCTTTCGAGGGAGGATTTACTAGGGAAAGACAATATCAATGAGATATAAGTCTAATCCACATAAGGGATTGACAACAACTTTAACCCAAAATCTTAAGGTATTGGGTTATAGGTCTTTCTTTCTTATATGTTGCTTAACTTTTTCTTTCTTACTCAATGTGAGACTTAAACTCTCATTTGGATTACCCAACTAACTATATATAGAGATGCTATGATTGATGACACTAAGGTATATGGAGGGAATGTACAAGCACATAACAACAAAGTACCATGTGAAAACGTCAATTGTCGGTCTCCACCCACAGAAATATTAAATGAAGAAAAAGTGAGCATATAAACACAGGATAGCAGAAGAATATCATACATTTCTCCCAGCAAAATTGACATCTGTTTATTCACTCACTGAAATGCGTTTTCAATCTGAAGGTAGTGAAAAAGAATTTCTTATCTTTAGACCGCTATGTCTGACGGCTCACTCACTGATTTAAGGTATCACAAATTGAATTCAAGTAGCAACAATATTCTATCCCTACCCAAGTGTAAAAGTAGGGAGCAGGTACAGGCTCTGTAGCTAATAATTCACAAAAAAATGTTGTTTATAAAACATGGCAAATTTACCTTATCAAGAGTATGTTCAAAAAAGGGAAGAAGGTTGTTTTCAATGCAGTCATTGGCAAGCCATTTGGCCTACTTTGAAGTGTCCCAAAAAGAAGTCATGAGTGCATAGTTTAGGGAAGACGATAACAGGAGAGAACGAGAATCCAAAAGCGTTGAATTGATGAAACCAAATTCAAGTGCTGATCTACAAGAAATAGTTTCCTTAAACTAGCCTCGGGCACAATGCAGTTTATCGGAAGCATTTATAGGACCAAACCTGATTCAGGTAGTTATATTTTGTAATAGGAAGTTATTTTTGCATTAATTTTGATTAGGCAGGTGTAGGTTATTATGACATGACAGTTATAAGTTATTTTAATTGTTAGGGGTAAATCCCGCATTTGTACTTGAGTCTAGCCTTAAAACCTGATTATTTCTATATTAATTCAGAATTCAGTGTGTTTATTGCTTGAGTCCAGTACATAAATAAGCACCATAAAGGCAGGAGTCCACACTTGACACTCAAAAAGTATAAAGGATAAGTAATAACCTACTAGAAAAAGAATTAAAATGATTTCTAGAAATGTTACATACTTTTTTCGCCCTCCTCTACCAGTACCACTTTCATGACCCCTTCCAGATTTTGTATTACCCTCATGACCTGAAGCAGGCACTCCAGTTATTGCAGCATTTTCTCTCTCTGTCATTAATCATATAAAATTAGGTTTTATTCACAAATTGGATTATTTTGTTATCAAATACAATACACTCGAACCATATCACAGATAGAAAACTATTAGCATTTACACTAGAAATTATGAGTTACACAAAAAAGGTAGGAAGTGCAGTACCACGACGAAGCTCTTCATCAAACTTTTTCAGATACTGATCAAGTTGTTGTATATGTGTATCTACCTGCAACAAAATCATAAATATGTAAGTATATGAAAATAAAGCAAGCATCCAGTTTTCGTCAACTTCACTGAAAATTATTCCAATATATTCTATTCCTGAACTGAATTTGTCTTACCAAACAATAATACTCGCAGGTATAACTCCTTACCCAACTTCCAATATGTTAAGCCAAATGAGGTGTTGAATAAAATGAGAATAATATAAATGAACCATGTTTGTATAGCTATTTCATAGGCAATGAACACGTCGCGAAGATCATTGACAACCCCCAAAAGAAAGAAAACAGTGAAGAAGCAAGATACAGATAGCACGGTTTTGGAAATACAATCCTTGTCCCGCTATTTCACGGTAGGCATTACCAAAAAACTACAATATCGAAGTCCAGGCAGACATAGTCAAAGCCAAGCATTAAGAAAGGTCTTAAAAATGAACGTAACAAGATAAATGTGGACACTACCAAATCATATGCCTGGACAGCCAAGGCTACTTTTTCATCAGCAACCCTGATGCTATGCTTTTGCTCATCAAGCGCTTCATCGGAGAATCTAATAGCTGATGAATCGGGTGTAATGTTTCCAGACCTAACTCCTCGCCTAATATCCTCAATTTCATGCTCACAACGCTGTTCATTTTGCCTTTGAATATCTGTTTAAACACATCACAGTGCTTCTGTTGAGTGGATACCTTAAACAAGACTTAGAATGCGATATGCAGTAAAAGCAGATATACACAATTAATTTATTTATTTTTTCTTTATAAATACAAGAATCGGCATTGCAGATATTGATCAGGAATATGAAAAATAGTACACTATCTTTAATTTAATATCTAATACAAATCATATCATGGGTAATCATGGGCAACACAATGAGTATATAACATATTGTAAATGAATATAACATTGATTGGACACGATCAATCAAATAAACCAAAAAATATCGTCTTCAAAATCCGCTCACAAACTTGTCATAATGTACTGAAATTACCATTGAAAGTTAAAAATTCTAGTCTAATAAATGTTAACATTAGAATTGTAGCATTTCACTCATCATTATAGTGGCACAACAGTGATGGGTACAGAAACCTTGTTTTTAACTTTGTACAAAGCTTTATTCCCACAACAGGCACTTCTTTCTCATCTCATCTATTTTGACACAAACCATAAAAACTTCAGTCCTTGCAGGTGTTGTTTCCAGCCAACCCCACTTCTCTATTTTGCATGTACTCGGTTCTGTCAATTATCTGTCCATCCTCTACTTCTTTCAGTTCTCACAAAAGTCCTAAAAAAGGTTTGTATAATCCCTCTGCACCTGTACTGTTGCACACCCTTCTTTTTTATTATTTATGTCCGTCCTTAGTCCTTATTCTGTTCTACCACTCAACCCTTTGTTCTATGTTTGGGTTCTATGCTGATGGTCTTTTTTAACGCACCCTTTAAGCAGCTGTAGCATCATCCAGTTGGAAGCTTACAGTTACTCAATTTATTTATTTTTGCTCTTATTGACTTGTGTGTTTATCTCAAGGATGTAGCTTCTGATTATTCATTATAAATATATTTTTCATCGTGCGTAATTTTTTCAGTTTAGCGTTTATATATGATGAATATAATTGTTCACCTGATCTACATTTCCTCAGAATGGCCATTATCCCACTATCTGCTATCTGCGAATAATATCTATGCTTCCAAGTTTGTCTATGCAAGGATTCACATATTATACCAAATGACTGATACCAACCTCTGCACCTGTTCTGTTGTGTGTACTTAGTTGTTGTTCTGTTCTACCACTCACCCCTGTTCTATGTTTGGGTTATATGCTGATGGTCTTTTTTTAACTTTATCAGGCAGTCCTTAAGCAGTTGTAGCATCATTCAGCTGGAGGCTTACAGTTACTCAATTTATTTATTTTTGTTCTTATTGACTTGTGTGTTTATCTTAGGAATGTAGCTTCTGATTATTCAATATAAATATATTTTTAATCATGCGTAATTTCTTTATTTTAGCATTTATATAGGATTAATATAATTGTTCAGCCTGATCTACATTCCTCAGAATGGCGATTATCCCACTCTCTGCTATCTGTGAATAATAACTATGCTTCCAAGTTTGTCTATGCAAGTGCAAGGACTCACATATTAAAGCAAATGATTGATACCAACCTAGTATCCTGCTTACTTTTACAAGATAGAATGCAAAATTGACCTCAAAAACAAGTTTTTGAACCCTGGTCGCTGCTAACCAAGGTTTTCTGACCTGAAAATCATGGAAGAAATCACCTATGGACAGAGGACAATACAAAAGTTCAACCATTAATTGATATGTAAATATAAATAAGAGAAGGAAGTTACTGTGTTAGTTACTTAGTTGCTATTAGTTCATAGCTGCTTGGTAGCTGCCTGAAAATAAGCTAGGCTATTGTCTTCTAGACAGATTGAATGTAAAAGACAGAAGTGTAGTGCATAGGTTCTTTGATCTCTCTGTTTCTCTCCTCTTTCCCCGTATCCTCTCTATTCTGTTTGCTCTTCCCTTTTACCCTCTTGCTCCTAGGTACTATGAGCCCTGTAGGATTCAGGAAAAAGTAGGTCCAGCTGCCTACAAGTTCCACCTTCCTGAAAACTCTTAAATACAGTCAATATTTCATATATCTTTATGCAAGTGATGCCCAGACTCCTCTGGAAAAGGTAGGTCCAGTTTCCTACAAGTTACAGCCATGCATAGTATTATGCTTCCTGAAAAGATACCAACAAACATGTGGGCAAGAAGAAGAGTCATATCGTCACAACATTGGTGCACTAGCATGGTTTACTTGATGAAGAGGCTACATGGGTTCTCTATTCAAGTTTCAGCAGCAATCCCTATGTTTGAAATGCATGATCATTGAGGAGAAGGATCTTTGTTTTGGGGAGGGATATTGATATGTAAATATAGGTAAGAAAATTATGTAAACATATTTTGTGCTGCTGTTCCCTCTTCCCCTCTTGCATCGTCTTTCAGTTTCTTTCTCTTTTCCTACTAAATTATATATCATTATCAAACTAAAAACGTCTTCTAAGAGAAAATTGCACAACCACCCTCACATAGAATGATATCAGAGCCACTAACCCACCCACCTAGCATTTCTTAAAAATATATTTTTATTTTGTACTTATCATGGTGTGATAAAGAAAAGAAAAGATAAATAGTCTATGCACTCTCTCCTAATTCAATTACAACTGTCGCGTATGATATGTTAATTGATGTTTACAATAACTACTTCACTTGTAACTACTAGAATGACTTGATTTCTTATTGTTTAACTGTCTGATGATTTTTCCACTGACAGTTCATAAAAATTAAAATAAAGAAAAAAAAACAGGCTCTTAATAAGCAGTTTTCATTCATACAAGGAGCAATAAAAAAATAGAGATATAAAAAATTACAATTACCCTGTAAACTCTTATCCAAATCACGTAACAAGGCATACTTCTTCTGAAGAATAATGGGCAGCGAATCCAAATCTGCAGAAAAACGCAACGTCGTTTGTTGGCGAAATTATAAGTACAAACACATAATTGAACCCTAAAATTCCAAATCTGAAAAACGTAAAAGAGAAATCCAGAGAGAGGAAAGAATAGATTACTGGCTTGAAATTCCTCATGGAACGACATTAGAATTTGTGGGTAAAACGCTGAATCGGAGAACTCAATTTCAGCTTAAGGTGAAAACACACTCTCTGCAACAATCTAACGTTATCAAAAGTAAGAGAGGAAAATTGAGTTTTGCCTCTTTGTAATTAAATCTCGGTAAAGTAAACTAAAATATCAAATGGTTAATCTATATGATTATAATAAGGATTTGGTAATAATTAATGATTAATAAATCACAATTTATAAAAAATAAACTAAAAAAAGTTAACCTTCTATAACTAATTTTATTATTTTTTAAATACTTCCTACATTTTAATTTAATATTTTAATAATTATTTTTTATTCGTTTTTATAACTAATTTTTCTACATATCCTTTTATCATTTTATTTAATATTTTAGTAACTTAATATTTTAATAACATGTTTATTAACTGAATTTTTATTTATATTAGCTAATTTTTATTATCATAAAAATTATTAACTCCCCTGAATTTTCACGTGTAAGTATTAATTTATAACTTTTTTTTTAAATTATATTTATACTGAATGTAAAAAAAAATCTCTTTTATATAATATTTTTAGTGTAAAAAGAGTGGCATATATAATATATTATTTATTTTAATCTTATATAATAATTTTTTAATCGTTTACTCAAAGTTTTTCTCCTTAATAAATAAACATAATTAAAATTGTGATTTCTTTTTCATTTGGAAGCATTCTCAATCATATAGTCTTTGTAATTTTCTTATTCTTCTTAAACTTTTTATCACATTTTTTTATATCTAATTTTTTTAAAAAATTATTTATTTTAAGTTTGTCTGTAACAATTTTTCGTTATATTTATCTGTTACAATTTTTTTCATTTGATTTTTTAAGTTTAATAGATTTTTATTTTGTTTTGAGTTCGAAAACGTTTAGGTAGGATTTTAAACGGTTAAATAAAGTGATTTAAACTGAAAAAAAAAGTAAAATTAAAATTTATTATGGAAAACAAACGGTTAAAAAAATGTCAGAAATTTAAAGAAAATTCGGATTTTAGAAATAAAATAAATCTGTATTTTCTAATCAAAGATATTCTTAAATTCAAATTATTTTTCGTAATTAAATTATATTTATTTATATATTATAATATTATTATATTTTTAATTTATATATGATCTCATAACACTTTTTATAAATAATTTTTTTTAATCAAATATCTTGTTACTAAAACCATATTAGTTCTAATTGAATTCTTATCCACTTTCACCAAACCTAATTTGCATAATTTCACAAATAAACTCCTTATAGTTACAGGTTATTTGACTCTAAAGCACAAACCTAAACCAAATTATGATACCTAACTTTGAACACATATTCAAATTCTTTACAAATAAGTTAATTATGATATGTTTAAGAACACGGGCAAAGTCTACACTAAGAAAACTTGTATTTTTTTTTTATGGTAATAAAAAATTATACAAACTTAATTTTTCCTTTCTTATATATTTAGGTTATTTCATTTTTTTTAAATTATATTTTTTTTAATTAAAGCAATATTTATAACCTGATGTATAATTAAAATATTTTTATAACTTATTAATAAATTTGTAACCAATTCAAGGATGTGATATTTCTTTATTTTATTATTGTATAAATTATTTGTGTTATACTTTATAACTTGTCCCACTTCAAATAAATAACCATCATTTGATAATTGAAATTAATTAATTTTATTTTATCCAGAAATCAATATAATTTTTAATAATATAAATTTATTTTTATTTCTTCATTTTTGTATAATTTTGTTTTTCATTTCCTTTGTTTTCTTTCTTCTCAAACAAATACAAGTTTATTTCTACATTTGTACACAAATTAAATAGAGACCAAATTAATGACAAGAACAACTCAGGTATACTTTTTTTAAGAGAAAAATAATAATAAAATAACTTACAAATAAAATAAAATAATGTGTACATAAATATAACTAGTTTATGTATAGCTTTTTAAGTTAACTTATTCTAAATTAGATTCTAACTTACAAATAAATTTAATTCATTTATGTAGAAATTGCTTTTTTTTTTAAATATTTATATAGAAAAAATTGCAAGTTCTTTATATCATTGAAATTGGAATGGATTTAGTTTTACTAAAATTATTTACAACACTTTTTTTATATATTGTTTTTATTATTTATAAAATATTATAAAATTTATAAATCTCCCTTTTTTTATTTTGGTGAATTTTAATTATAATTTTTATGAGAATTTAATTAACAATGTGTCAGATGTATAATGTTAGAGTGTGTTACAGTGTGATAATAATCTTTAAATAAAATAATTTGGTTGGTGATTTCACTATTATTGTTTTTTCAATTTATATCAAATTTTATTTATATTTTTATGCATGCATATTATCTATCTTTTAATATTTTCAAAACTTATATTAAGATATTAATTTTATTTTATTTTAAAAAAATATTCATAATGATAAAGCTAGATTCGAATTATTTTTTTATTACTTATTATTTTTATGTATCCGTAAGATAATGAAGAAGAGTAAAATAATAATTTTCAACGCCTTTTGAAATTTTAATACAAATTTTCCTTTAAAATGAAAAAGTTATTAAAAATATAGTTAATAACAAAAAATAAATAAATATTATAAAAATTATCTCATATAAAATATATATATATATATATATATATATATATATTTTAATTATAATATATATGTTAATAAATAAATTATAAAATTATTTATATTAGTATTTTACATTTAAATTAAAATTAATAATTTATATACATCATCTTCATGTTTTAAAATAAAAATGTAGTAGATAAAAGATTTTAAACGATTAATATTCATTTCAAACTTTTTTTATAAATTTTAATCTTTTAAAAATTTCATTTAAATTATGATTGTATAATGTAAATTTTTTCATCTCCCTTTTCTGAAATATGAATAAACTTTGATGTATCAAACTATTTCATGGTTCTGTAAATTATTGAGATTTTTTTAAATTTATTTCTAAACTGGAGAAGCAAGTCCCAACCACTTGATATTGCTTTACAATGATTTTAAAAACTTCAAGAACTCAATTAAAACACATTCTTTTATGAAATTAGAAACCTTGTACAAATTTTTTAATTACTTTTAGAATTATATAAGGTGAATGTGGATGAATTTGATATAACATGGTGAAATTAATACTTTAATCTCATTATTAAGATATGTGATTAAATTATTGTGATTTTTTTACCAGTATAACAAACTTTGAATTACTTTACTAATTTATTATTTTAATATTTAATTATCTAATTTATTATTTTAATAATTAAGATACATTATCTAGATATTTTGATTCTTAATACCTATTATATTTATTAGGGTTCAAAACCAATTTAAAAAATAAATTGAAAATCAATAAAAAATTTAAATTAATTAAAATCATTTTTTAAAGATTTTTTATTAACAAAGTTTAAAACCATTTAATTTAATTCGATTTTCAATTTCACAATAAAAAATTAATTCACACCCAATCGAATTAAAATTATAATATATAATATTAAAATTAATATAATTAAATAAATTATTTTATATTGAATTATTTTTCTTAAAACTTAAAGCTTATTGTTATTATTTAAATTTATAAAAATTTATAAAAATCAAACCAAATCTAAATTCAATTACGTTATTCGAGTGACTTTTTAGTAATATCTACTATGAAAAGTAAAATTAGGATTAAAGTTAATTATTCTTAAATTTATACTAATACTTTTTACACACAATATAATAATTTACATGGAATATTTTAAGTTTGAAACTTTCCAAAAGTTCAAATCCAAAAATGCTTTTCTTGAAGTGCTTTTAAACTCTCCAAACAGCCAAGTTTATGAAACAATGCACCATTATATAAAAATGGTGGCTAAATATTTAAACATTAAGTTTTTGTTTCATTTTCAAGCTTAATAATTAAAAAATAATAATTAAAAAAAAATTAACCAAAGTTGCCACGAGAAAGATACATTGTAGGGTTATTAATCCCAATTGAAGACGCGTTAGGGCGTGTTTGGATTGGACACCACCTGTTTCTTTGGAAAAGTTCTTCATGTGGCTACCTATTCTTGTCTTAACCTTCTTTGTCTACATTCCAACTTCTATTATTAATCTCTCAAAACTCTTCTCATTCAAACTTCCTATCTCCTAAACATTTTTCCCTCTAAACATTTTTCACATTCAAAGATTAAATAATAACATTTTAGAACCAAATCACTATTACCCAAATACTAAAATCCCATTAAGACATATTTACCAACACATTAATAAAATTCTTGAGTCTCTCATTAAACATGTGATATTTAGGTGTTAAAAATGTTATTACTAGTAGTCCTTATTAATCTTCTACATATAAAAATCCTAACTCTTCACATGGAAAATTCTAAAAGAAAATGACCATATAGCATTATTCAGATATTCATCTATAAGTGTTATAAAGTTTGGTTGAAACTGAACAATAGTGCAAATAGGGTGTATCCAAATTATTTGGATCTTAAATACAGATTCTTGAATACAATTTAGTGCAGAAATTATTGGGTGATCATATAGTTTATTTTTACATACATATAATTGAATGTTAATAACTTTTTATGATAAATTAAAAATTAAATATATGTCACATATGGGTGATTATGATAATGTGACATATAATTGAATGTTATTAACTTTTTATCATAAATTAAAAAAAAAAAAAAAAATGTCTTAGATGGGTGATAGTTTTGAACCAACTAATAGTTTCTTATTTTAGTTGCTATCAAATTTAAACAAGAGGACTCAACATAATATTACATCTTGTGACAATTTCCTCAAACAGCTGTCTTTTTCTACTTGTAGAAGGTAATTAGATTTGTGAACATTATATTTCTTGGTAGGTTTTCTGTAAACTTAAATAGTATAATATTATGGAAACTTCTACATTAGTGAGCAGCACCAAAATATGAAGATTACTACAATGTTGCAGAAGTCAAAAAGATAAGACAAAACAAATATTTGATGTGTAAAAGTATCACAACATGTCAATTGTAGACACCAACAAAATTGTTTCTATGAATCCATTCCAACGGGTGTGAACACCAGTTTCATTCTACTACTCGTCACAGTGCCCTTCAGTTTTCAAATACCCTTCTCAACCTGCTGCTTCTGAAGCTGAGACTTTGTAGCATTTTCTTTTAACAAGTAGCATCAACAACACCCTTTTTCTCTTTCTTTATTTCAGGTGTGTCCTTGCTGCAGAGAGTGCACTCTTGAGTAAAATAAGGTGAGAACTTTATGGTTGGTTCCTGCATTAACAAGCATTTCCTGCATTCAGTTCATAGCTTTTACCCCATGCTCTGCTTGTAATCATAGTTTTTTTTTTCTTGAGTCCATTTTAAGTTAAATTTGTTCTCCTTTGTGTAGTTTGAAAGATGAGCATCTTTGGTGGGTGTTTTCATCTTTTAAGCACACTTCATCATCTTTTAACTTAGATCTAATTTCTAGCGTAACATTAGACTACTGTTGTATTGCTACACATTTTGATAGTTGATAAGCTTTGAAACACTGTTGGTATGACACTGCCATTGTCTGATAAGTGATGTTGATGGTGGTTAATCAAGTTGTTTGGTTTTATTGTAGAATGAGTGCCTCTGAAATAACACATGAAGAAATAACAGTACATGTTAATCAAAGTGACACACAGTTTGTGCTTCAGGGAGAAGGGATTGCTTCTTTGGAATTAAACAGAGTTGATTGTGCAGTGGGAAGAAAGAAATCACTGCGAGCTCGCTATTATTTTGGCATTATATTCATGATAATGAATTTTGTTGCCTGGTTTTTCCGTGACTATGGACAAGGTGTTCTACCACTTATTCATCGTAAGTCAATTTTCTACCCATCCATTTCCATTTTCTAGTCTCAGGCCATCAGAACTTTGGTATGGCTTTTCACAGTAGAATTTTAATTATCACTATATAATCTAGCTTGATTCCTTTTCATTGTAAATTGAAAATTGGAGAGAATTTGTGATAGGTAAGTTTTACTCCTTTTGAACTGTCAATGAGCCTGGCCTGACACTCAATTTAATATTACCATATTTTAATATTAACTGTTAAACAAAATAAATGAATTCTTAAGATGGTTTTCTCATATGATATCAGATCATGTGCTAATCACATTTTGTAATTTACTTTGTACTGTACAGGAATTTCCTATTAACAGATCAATAATGAATGGAATATTTGGAAAGACTAGACAAACAGATATGTGACTATACAAAAACAATTTAACCATTGGCTTGCATTGATTCTGAAACAACTTCTGGAAAAATAGACCAATTTTGCTTGTTGACAAACTTGGAGGTCATCAAGTGGTGTAGATCATATGACACATACCCTCTGGTCTGTGTATATGCTATATCTAAGAAAAAACTGGTCTTATACCATGTCAACCAATTATAGATCCTCATTAAAATGATTAAACTTGCATGCTTATAATGGGTCTCCAATGTTGATCAAGAAGATTATGGCAAATGATTTTATATTTCCCAGAAAAAACTTAGAATAAATACACTTTTTGTTGCCAAACGTTATGTAGTCCAAATTCTTCACGATGAAGCTTTCAAAGTGGAAAAAGAATCCATTAAACATTTTTCATGAACCTGGAGATCTTGAAAGTGGAAAGATATTAGATCCATTTGTTATTCATTCTTGTTATTGATACTGCTCTATTTTCTACAGATATCAAAGTTTGTGGAAAAGAAGGAGAAGACTGTTTTCATACTTTGGGAGTTCTTCGTGTGAGTTTAGGATGCTATGTATCTTTCAGTTATCAGAGTTTCTGCTTCATGATGAATCATTATATACTGCTACTGTATCTCAGGATATAACCCTGTAAAAAGGCAATTTTTTAATCGTTAAGTTACCATATAAATAGTCTTGTATTCTGTCAACATCCTTGAAATGCAAACAAAGTTTTTAACTTTTTATTTGGATTTTCAACAGAATATGCTCACAAATTAATGCAAACATCTTGAGTTTTATTTGAACTAAACATGAATCACATTCCTCCAAATCTTATTCATTGCAACTCTCACTCACCAGCCTCTTTATTATTCAGTGTTGTGAGGTATTGCATTTCGTACAAAAGACAACATGATGCATATTTTCTATATGATCTCTAGAATGATGATTCATGACAGAAATTATATTCCTTAACGATGAATTAGATATTTTTCTCAGTTATGTTTCTCACTACAGTCAAAACAAGAAAATTACATGAACGTCGGACTTTGTGGCATTCTGGCTGGTGGGAAGTGAAGTCTCTTATATTGCTTGCATCAATGACACTCCCATTCTTTTTCCCTTCAGAAGTTGTTCAAATATATGGTAAGTTTCTTGCTTTTTGACCATAATACAGTATAATAATAATAATGGTTTTTACATAACGATTTTGGGTTACAAAAAATGTTCTTGTACAAATCATTCATTTAACGAACAGTAATTCTTCCAACATTTGGATCAAGGAAATTCTTCTATTCTATGACTGAAATAGTTAAGAGTAGAGTAGCAATATTATTTTTCATTCATTGAATACATAACTCCTTTCTTTCTTGAATATCATGAATAAGAACCTTAACATACCTACAATCTTGCAGGTGAGGTTGCTCGTGTCGGTGCAGGGTAAGGCTCAAATCTTTCACTCTTTTCTTACAAGTATCCTACTATCCCCTGAAAGTCTCCATCAATACAAGGTTGTTATTTACATGCATGTGGTGTGGTGGTTCATGTTCGCAGTGTTTTTCTTCTTCTACAACTTGTGAGTGTCATCCAATTTATCACTTGGTGGAATAAGTATTGGAATCCAGATGAAGAAAGGAAGCAGAGGTAGGTACACATTTTGTTCTGAGGTCAACTTTTACATATTGCTATGAGGATGAACACAACCTAGTTGACTTCTAAACCATTATTAGGTAAAGGTTATTTTGGTGTTAAATAAGTGGATAAGTAAAGAATAAGCTTTTACAAAATTCAAAAGATCGTGCATTGGATGGTTCAAGACTTAAATGTCATGTGAAAATATCCATCATGATCAATATTATTTGCAATGGAATGCAGACATTGTTGTTGAGAAATCCAAATGTGAGAGTCTAAGTCCAACATTGAATAAGAATGAGAAAGTTGAACAACATATAAGGAAGTATGACTCATAACCCAATGTTCCGGGCCACTAATAAGTTTGAGGGGATGTACCAATGTGGAGGAATTCACACTTGAGGGGGAGATTGTTGAGTAATTCAACATATAAGAAAATATGACCTATATCCCAATATCTTTTAGGTTGAGAGTAGTGACCGGCAATGCCCTATGTGTATTGGGTTCATATTTCATTAGTGTTGTATTCTCTGTAGTGAATCCCCTCGAAAGACTCAACAACGGTTTTCCTAATGTTTATTACATGTGAACATTAACTTTGTTTAGTTTTTGAAAATAGTATATTATGTACGAGATTAGCAAAACAAATTTAGAATATAAAGTTAATCTGAAAGACAAACATAAAAAAAAATAAAAAAAAAATTAAAGCATGCTTAAATTTCAATTGAGCAAGTTCATATGATAAATTTACTAAGGATTTAAATGAATCCCATAAAGCCATTTTCTTTGTGGATATTCAAGGATATCATTGCAAGTAGTGAGCCAAAAAGGGTTCATATAAAAACTCTCTTATAAACTTTAACTTATAAATAAGTTAGTTTTAGTTTATAGAAAAAATTATTTAACTTTTTTCTTTTTCTAGAAGTGTTCATGAAGAATTTTATCTAAACATGGCATTGTTTACTACATACCTGCCTAACATGTTGTCAAATCAATTTCCTTATGGCATCCTCCAAATAGGCTTAGGATTGATTGTGTTATTTCCTATCACTACAACATCAAAGTTGGAGTTGTTTTTAGGCTTAAAAGGATATCAAAGTTTTAACATATTATGGTGACTGTTAGTTAGTTACAAGCTGTGTTATTGTCCTAATACTGGTAAGATCACAATATCACATATCCCTAGTGTTCTTGGCCACAGGAATATAAAAGTGTGTTTGTCACAGGTGTTCCTTTGGGCTCTTAATGTCAACGTTGTTTTATATAGCCTCTATATGTGGACTTGTCTATCTGTACGCATCATATGCTTCAAGAGCTTCATGTTCTCTCAATCTATTTTTCATCACATGGACAGCAATTCTGCTTGCTGCAATAATGGTTATATCCTTACATTCAAAGGTACACACTGGTACTGGTATTTATTTCTAATACTTTGCATTAACAGGCAAAATCTCTGACTTGTTTCTAATTTCTTTCTTTATCCCCGAGATGATATAACTTAGACATGTTTTTAATATTTATATAAAATGAGAATTTTTTTTGACAGAAAGTTATTCTAATATTTTAATTTCCATTAATATAATTAAAACCTGTTTTAATTATTGCAGGTTAATAGAGGTCTTTTATCTTCAGGGATTATGGCTTCTTACATTGTCTTCCTTTGTTGGTGTGCAATAAGAAGGTCAGGATTCTGATCCATACATTAGCATTGTTGTTATGATGAAGATAGATCAAAATTTCCTTCTTACATGGATGTAACATACTCAGCTGTGGTTTTGATTTTGCTAAAGAGGATACAATTTGAATTATACATGTGCAAACTTGATTCAGAGTAAACATCAAATCATATATTTTATTTGGATTCTAGAGATGGTAAACTTATAGATCTTCATCATGGAATTTCAGTGAGCCTGCAACCGCAAGATGTGAGACAAAGAATCAACAGATAGGAAATGGTGGCTGGACAACAGTAGTTGTAAGTTTTTCATACATGTTAAATTTGGAAAAAACTTTGTTTACTTGCTTTTCACTTCCCTTGAGTTCAAAAATCCTGAGGAATAATTCTTTTTCAGTCTTTTATAAATAATTATTAGAGGTTAAAAATACTAGATTTTCTGTTTGAGTGTGGCAGATTGGCAGAATGTTTAAGTAGGTGTCTGTCTTAAATCTATTATGTGAAGCAAATATAATTGTCTTTTTTCTTGCCTGTGAAGTAGCTTGGGATGCATAGTTTCACTATTTTAAATGCACTTCTTCAAAATTAACATTTTGTGCAAATTCTTGGAAATTAGTGATAGAGGAATATCCCTTTGGTGATCTGACAAAATGATTAAGTATGGATTTTGAGAAGTACCATCTTGTCTCAAATCTTAGAATTCAGTCTATATTTTACAGTGATATTAACTTATAATTTTTAAAGTGACTTGCATACACTGTGCCATATGCTGGCTAGTTTTCTTGCAAGTTTAACCAATGCTAAATTTTAGAAGACCTATGGTCATTTTGTTGACTCTGCAGTGTGCACTATCTTTAGATATGTTCTGTTTTTCATTGTGTGTGTCTGTGGATTAGAATTAAAATGCACATTTTCTCATACTATGGATGGTTCTTTACATGAATGTTTTAGTCATATTGTTAGTTTGCATCATATATTATTTTCTTAACAGGGCTTCCTTATTGCCATATTTGCAATTGTGATATCAGCCTTTTCCACAGGCATTGATTCAAAATCCTTTCAGGTGAATCATTCTTCTGAGTCTCCCCATTAAATTCAGAAAAATTCTTGTTTGTTCAACATTCCATTTTCAACCCTTTCCTAGACAACTCAATAATGCTGCAAGTTAAGGAAAAAATGTCTTTTAAAAGTCAAGAGAAAATGAATCCCTCCATAAGTGAAAAATAAAAAGTTAGATCATATTCTCTTCATTGATTTCTCAGTATCCAAAGCAACATCATTTAATCAAAGCAAAACCACTTCCTTATTGTGACTTAAAGAAAATATCAGAGTGGCTGTGATGATAAAATAGTAAAATGATGTTTTTTTCCCACATATTGAGGTGATTTTTTTGGTGCTTTCCAGTTTTCAAAAGACAAAGTTGAACATGAAGATGATATTCCTTACAGTTATGGATTCTTTCATTTGGTATTCTCCTTGGGGACAATGTACTTTGCAATGTTATTCATCAGTTGGGATCTGAACAACTCACCAAGGAAGTGAGGAACCTATTCATCATATAGTCATTGTGTGCTTTGTTTATGATCAGGATGATCTTTTCACATCTTATATTCTCTTCACTTTTATGAATCATGCAAACATCAAACCACCAGGTGGAACATGGATGTTGGCTGGATAAGTGCATGGGTGAGAGTTATCAATGAGTGGTTTGCAGCAACAATTTACAGTAAGTGAATGAATATTATTTGTACAGAAAAAAGTGTTTTCCAAAGTTTCATTAGATTCAACCACATATATGTTAATGGATGAAAATTGTTTGATTTGGGAAGATTCAAAGAACAAATATTTAATTAAAATTTTATAAAGACCAAAATTGCACACCTGCAAAATTATAGAGACCAAAAATGGGTTTAAACCAAAAATAAAAAAGATTTGAAATTTAAATTAAAAATAGTTTATACATAATTTTTACAAATTAAACTACAAATAATCTAAATTTAGACATTTTATTAATTCACCTACCTTTCCAATTCATACCCTAATTGGTTTCATTTATTTGATTTGAACAGTATGGATGCTGATTTCCCCAATTGTGAGACAGAACAAAGCCAAGGATAACGGTGGAACTGTGCAGGAGACAGTTGTCTCGGTTAGGGCATGATTGACGAAGACAAAATCATCAACATCCTTACAAAATAACAAAAAAGTTCTTTCCTTTCAAATTTTTTCTATTCCTTACTAGTACTTTACACTTTAACCCAATTTTAATGGCTGAAAGGCAAAAAAGTGAAGTATGCAATAACATGATAAAATATTTTGCTTTAGGAAGTAGACATGACTGAAATATATCTTCAAACCTAGCATCATGGTTCTATATCACACTTTGTGCTTATAACCACATGAATTTAATCATGGTTTGTAAGGTTATGATCTGATGTAATACAAGTTGTGATTGATTTAGCTGTACTGGATACAAACTAATGGTTGAGTTGGTAGAAAGTGTTTGTTGAACTCATTATTTAAATTTGCATCAAACATAATTCTTCTCATATTCAAGTTTTTGTATCATTGCTTTTTATAATACATGTTTGGAAAAGTAATGTATCCTTAAGTCCTCTTTCAGAATTTTGTTAAGAAATAGTTGCCAACTTCTGATATAAGTTCTTGCAACAATTTTGTGCTTTTGTATGGATTATAAAACCTACTTATTTTTTTTTGTTATAAATGATATATACATTTTGCATAAAATAATGTAGACAAAGAAAAAACTTATAAATTGTTTGGTGATTTTAAGAGTAGTAGCATATTACATCAAACAAACAATAATTAAAGCCTAAAGAATTGAGGAAAAGGAACTGTTAGAATTCATAATCATCATTCTCTCTTTTGCACATGGTTTGAAGTTTTAATTACGTGAAGGACATTGAACCACATTTTTTTTTTTTTGCTGAAAACATGCATTATTTCATCATAAACATGACAAAGAAACATTTACAAGAATTGTAGCAGTGTAGCACTTGGCAAAACTGCATGGTTGCTTTATCAATCCATTCCATATCTCATAACTGCAAGCAAACTAAAATGGGCTTCATCCAATTTGCTGAAGGCACAACAAATCTGCTATAGTATTAACAACTTCATTACAACCAATTCTCGCAACTACTCCAACACAAATACACACTGTATTGATTACTTAATATGTACTATAAAAGACCAAAGAGTTGAATTCTATTTCACTCAATCCAAAAGCACAAATTATGTCTTTGGGATCATCAACCACTGCTTTTTGTGTCACAATGTTGTTTGCTTTTGCACTTATGGTTGTGCCAATTTGCATGGCAGCCACAGAACCTGTGATTGAGTTGTACATTCATGATATTCTTGGGGGCAGTAACCCTACAGCACGCCCAGTGACAGGGTTGCTAGGGAGCATATACAGTGGCCAAGTGCCCTTTGCTACCCCAGTAGGGTTCAAAACCCCACAGGGTGGAATTCCCATTCCCAATGCAAATGGTGCCATTCCCACAGTGAATGGAGTCACTGGCATTCCACTAGGCACTGGCTTGGCTGGCACCACTTTTGCACCAAACAACAACAACCAAAACAATGCACCATTGGAGATAGGACCTGATGGGTTGGGGATTGGTTTTGGCACAATCACTGTGATTGATGATGTGTTGACCTCTCAACCTGAGTTGGGGTCACAACTGATTGGGAAGGCTCAAGGGGTTTATGTGGCTAGTTCAGCAGATGGGACTAGGCAGATGATGGCATTCACAGCACTTTTTGAAGGAGGGGAATATGGTGATAGCTTGAACTTTTATGGCTTGTACAAGATAGGAAGCACCATGTCAAAATTGTCTGTGATAGGGGGCACAGGGAAGTTCAAGAGTGCAAGGGGGTTTGCTGAGCTGAGACCTCTTATCCCACCAGGGCAAGTTTCCACTGATGGTGCTGAGACACTGCTCAGAATCACTGTCCATTTGAATTGAACTACTAAACTGTGGTAGTGTGGATGCATTTGTGACTGGTTCTGTTTGATTGCAGATGATTTTATCAGATTATTTGGTCTTGTGTATTTTTGTCAGTTTTTGGTTGCTAAATGTATTTGAAGTGTTAGTTGTCATCTCATGAAAACCTTTTGGTGACTTGTTCCTTGAGAATCTGCAACTTCCACTATATTGGTTAATTATGGATTCATTATGTAATGGGAAAAACCTAATGATCACTATTCATTCTTAACTTGTTATTTTTTTAAAAGGGCTTTTCTTCTTAGAAGAAAAGTTTTCTATCGATTTGAAATTGAGAAATTATATTTTCCATATTTACTTTACTTTTTTCTATAGATAATAGAAAACTTTATTTTTAGAGAACATCTTTTGTCAAGATTTAAAAAAATAAAAAATTATTCTTGATAAAAATTTAATATAACAATAAACTACATATTTTTGGTGAAAATAACCCTTACTCTTTATTTGTTTAAATAAGTATTTTTAATTAACTAAATAAAATATATTATTCTTAAAAAACATAATTAATAGGATTCATGATAAAAAATAATTTCTCTTCTAACCAAACGAGTGTCTAAAACATTTTAATCTTAAGCATAGTTAATCTTCAATAAGGATTATATCAATACAATAAAAGGATTTGAAAAAAAAAAAAACTTTGGAATTAATGACAGGCACCATTTACTTTTTTTAATCGTTTTCTTGAAAGCTGATGGTGGTCTACATTTGACTCATTTTACCATTAAATAATTATCATTGATGGATGCATCATCGATTGTGAAATTGAACAAAACCAACATGTACTATTTAAAATGCAAAATAATCAAATTTTAATTAGCTATGATAATCAAAACTTTGTTACTGTCTAACTGCTGATCTTACTTGCTTAGCCATGATTATATGTTTAGCTGATTTCATTTCCTTGTTGGTTTTTAGTTAACTTCATATTTTTTTCATTGAGTTGCATATGTTTGATGCATGGCATTCATTATGCACATTTTTGGTTTTTTATTTGTTTTTGGCTCTAGCAACCCTAATTCTTTATGCACATTTTGGGAGCACATCAAAGTTATGGAGTTACTTTGAAGTTTGGATAAGATGATTGTATTCTTAAACCATGTATATTTTAATAAAATAATTAGTTTTTAAACTTTAAATAAAATAATTATTGATATTTAATTATATTTCATATAAAAATGATAGAGATGATGAATTAGGGGTGTTAAAAAACTAAAACACAGTTAATTGAACCAAACTAAACTATAAAAAAGCATAACTATTTTTTATTAAGTTAAATTAAACTATAATTATTTTACTAAAGAAGACAATTTAGTATATTACTTAAAGTTATTATAAAAATTGAAAAAAGAGAGAGAAAGAAGTGCTTACATATTATTCAAACTTGAAGTCATTGATATTTTTGTGAGTTTTCAATTATAATTTTTTTATTAGTAAAATTAAATCTAATAACTACATTATACTGGCATAAAAATGGCAGTATGTTCACATGATGAAAAGTTCTTTTCATTAACAATTTGTTTATTTTCATAGTAAGACAATATTACCTGGCTATATATAATAAATAAATTTATCTATTGATATTAGCATACACAAAATTCTGACTGAAAATATTGTGTTGATGAATTATTGAATATTATTGTGCTTTGTATATTTAGTTATATGGAATAGAGGTTTATGATTTTGGTAGAGTTGTACTTGCACCCACCTTTCAAATTTCTGACTTTTTTTTCAGCTATGTGGGCTGTTTCTCAGAAAAGATCTATAATTTGTGACACCATACATTGTTACTTTTTTTTTCTCCCATGGATTTCTACGTCACAACACAGTTACTTTCTTTCATTACATCTAAACAATGCCACTGAACACAAATGTTGACTCATTTTGATAGAGTATGAGGCACAACTAATCTACTTCCTGTTAATTTCAACAACTTCATTATCACCCATCTCTCACAACCACTCCAACACAGTGTTCCCTCCTATATAATACCAAGACATGCATTTCTTTCCACATCCTCACACAAAATTCAATACCACATAGAAGAAATGGCATCTACATGTGAAACACTTGGAAACAAGATGGCTATGGGAATGGGATCACCAATTGCAGCAGCTTCCCTGACAATTTTGCTTGCTTGTGCAAATTTGGCCATAACTGTAGCAGTAGTTAACCCCATTGCAGCCACTGGGAAAGAACCGGTTATTGAGCTATACATGCATGACATTCTGGGGGGCAGTAACCCGACAGCTCGACCAGTGACCGGCTTGCTGGGAAGCATATACAGTGGTCAAGTACCCTTTGCAACGCCAGTAGGATTCAACACCCCACAAGGTGCGATTGCTATTCCCAATGCCAATGGAGCTAACCCCACTGTCAATGGAGTTTTTGGTATTCCACTAGGAACTGGATTGGCTGGTACTTCATTTGCACCAAACTCAGGTAACAACAACAACCAAAACAATGCCCAGCTGCAGTTAGGACCTGATGGACTGGGACTAGGCTTTGGTACAATTACTGTCATTGATGATATGCTGACCTCTCAACCTGAGTTGGGGTCCCAACTGGTTGGGAAGGCTCAAGGAGTGTATGTGGCAAGTTCGGCAGATGGGACTAGACAGATGATGGCTTTTACAGCCCTGTTTGAAGGGGGGGAATATGGTGATAGCTTGAACTTTTATGGCCTGTATAAGATAGGAAGCACCATGTCACGAATATCTGTGCTAGGGGGCACAGGGAAGTTCAAGAATGCAAGGGGTTTCGCAGAACTGAGAGCTCTAATCCCACCTGGACAGATTTCCACTGATGGTGCAGAGACACTACTGAGGATCACTATCTATTTGAAATACTAAAACTGTAGTGTGGAAATGTAAAAGTAATTGGGTGCTGCTTGATCACTGATGACTGAGATTGGTCTTGTATATTGTCAGTTTGATACTTGGTTTGCAGAATGTATGAGAAATCTTAGTTGTATTCCCCCAAGAAACAATATGGTGATTTGTTTAGTTTTTTTCATTTACAGAAAATTATAGTTTGTGGTACTTGAAGTATTTCTGGTTGGTTTCTGATTTTTTAATACAAGCAGAAGCAATAAATGCGTTAAACTAAGCCAATGACAGTCTACAAGTTAAACTAAAATAAGCAAATCAGAGTCCTAAAAGCATTAGCCATTATGTGGTTCAACATTATCTGTAAAGAAAAAAGCAGTATGATGAAAGATAATCAAGAAAAATTCAGAATGAAAGAGAGTTTATTGCATATGAATAATGAAATGGAAGAAAATGTCACTTGTTAGTTCATATACATACACAATTCTACCAGTTGGAAATAAGATTAACAACGCAGCAGGAATTCATAAACAACTTCCACCAAACCAAATCCTATACATGAAACAATTTTAAGAGTTAAATCTGAACTGAATAACTTGTACACGCAAAATGATGACTATTAGAAATCCCATAAATATTTAATTCCTCGTTCAACATGTTTACTTCTCGATGTGAGAAATATGTTAGAGATTCTATATTTCCTACGTATATGATCAAATTATATTATACAAATGGAATGCAAAACTTCCGTATAAGCCTCTTTTGTAAAATTATGTTAAGTTCATATCCGCTATCTAATAATGAGAGAGTGGTAAAACTGGGAAATATTTTAAACTATACGAATACCCTCTTGTAACAAGAAGGAGCTACCGGTGATTATTGTCATAAATTGTGGAGGTATCCATCGAAAAATATAGAAATCATTCTATAATTTTCATTCATATTATTTTGTACACATATACTATGATCTTATAGTATTTTACTCTAACAAATCAGGACAACATATAGGTTCTGATTATACAATATTTTGTACAGCTATACAAACCTATAATTTAGCTAATCAAATATTTTTATCCCAACACTCCCTCTCAAGTTGGTAAATGGATGTCATACATTCCCAACTTGTCCAACAATCTCCTAAAAATTTGACTTGTCACAGCTTTGGTAAGAATGTCTGTCAACTGATCTTCAGATCGAATATTTGGCAATTCCAAAATATTTGTATCGAATTTTTCCTTTATGAAAAATCTATCAACCTCCACATACTTCATCCGATCATGTTGGACAGGATTGTGAGCAATGTCGCACGCAGCTTTATTATCACAATACAATTGAATGGGACGTGTATGTGCATACCCTAAATCCTGAAGAAGTAGTCTGAGCCATAAACTTTCACAAAGTCCAAGAACCATTCCTCTAAGTTCAGCTTCTGCACTGAATCTAGCTACAACTTTCTGCTTCTTGCTTTTCCATGTGACAAGATTACCTCCTACAAATGTAAAGTATCCAGAGGTTGATCTTCTATCATCAAGAGCACCTGCCCAATTTCCATCAGTATAAACTATCACATCCTTGTAGTTGGAATTCTTCTTGAACATAACTTTTTTTCCAGGAGCAGCTTTTATATACCTTAAGATCTGTATAACAGCATCCATGTGTTTTTCACCTGGATTGTGCATGAACTGGCTAACCACACTAAGAGCATAAGCTAAATCTGGCCTAGTGTATGAGAGATACATCAATCTCCCTACAAGTCTCTGATATCTTCCCTTGTTAGTTGGAGTTTGATCTTCTTCAATGCACAACTTCAATCCCTCTTCAATTGGAGAATTTGTTGGTTTGCATGCTGTCATTTCAGTTTCTTTTAGTAAATCCAATGCACACTTTCATTGTGAGAGAAAAATACCTGACTTTGATCTTGAGACCTCAATTCCAAGAAAATATTTCAAAGGACCAAAATCCTTCATCTCGAATTCCTTTGCCAAGTACTCTTTCAATGCCTTGTGTTCCTCTAGATCGTTTCCCGTAATTATCATGTCATCAACATAGACAATAAGAATTGTAATCTTTTCTTCCTTTTTCTTTAGAAACAAGGTATGATCTTAGTTGCTCTGTTGATATCTAAAAGCAAGCATT